GGGCGACGGGCCTACGAGCCGGGCTAGGGGCGACGGGCCTACGAGCTGGGCTAGGGGCGACGGGTCGACGGGCCGGGCTAGGGGTGACGGGCCGGCCTAGGGGCAAAGGGCCTAGGAGCGACGGGCCTAGGAGCGACGGGCCGGCCTAGGGGCGACGGGCCCAGGAGCGACGGGCCGGGGCGACGGGCCTAGGGGCGACGGGCCGGGCTAGGGGCGACGGGCCTACGGGCTGGGCTAGGGGCGACGGACCGGCCTAGGGGCGAAGGGCCTAGGGGCGACGGGCCGGGGCGATGGGCCTAGGGGCGACGGGCCGGGCTAGGGGAGACGGGCCGGCCTAGGGGCGACGGGCCGGGGCGACGGGCCTAGTTAGGGGCAACGGGCCGGCCTAGGGGCGACGGGCCTAGGGGCGACAAGCCGCACGAGGGCGACGCGCTGGGCAGTAGGTGCGGCACGAGGGTCGCTAGGGGCGGCTAGTGGGGCAACGCAGTGGTGGGCCCTAGGAAAAAAAACGGTCCTAGCAAAGGACCTGCTCTGAAACCATGTCAAAAGAATGAATGAGAATGAATGCATTGAGCAGAAGTTGGGTACAAGTACTAACCCTAATTGGGTTGTACCCCTTATGGGCTACCCCAATATAGCCTACACAATGTAAGCAATATAACATTCTGACATGTGCGAGTGCAGGTCGCTCCATGCTGACCTGTGCGACGGACGTACCTGCAGCGAGCTGGGCCACCTGAGCTGCCAAGTCGGATCGCCCACTCACGAAGCTGCTGCGGCGAGAGCTGCACTTGTCGGCTCGGCTGCTACTGCTGACCACCCCCGGAGCCACCTCCACCACCCGCTGCACCACCAGACGCAGCTGAACGAGTGGCCGGACCTCCAACTCCTCCTCTGCCTGCTCCACTTCGAGTGCCACCCCCACCCCCTCCACCACCCCCACTGCTCCCACCACCTCCTCCTCCTCCTCTGCCGCCTCCACCTTCTCCTCCCCCACCACCACCACCTCAGCCACCACCACCGTTGCCCCCGCCACCCCCACCACCCCTACCACCCCCACCCTTGCCACCCTTGCCCTTGCCGCTTCGGCGCCTCCCACTAGGAGCAGACGCAGCACCGACCTCCTCAGCACCAAAGAGGTCCAGAACAGCAGCAGAGGCAACAGACAACGCGAGCAGGAAGGGGGAGCACCCCTCAAAGACAGAGGGGAGGAGATTGCGACGAGAGGCAGCGACAGCTAGGGCAGCGGACTCAGCCTCTAAGAGACGGGACTCAAACGAGGCGAGGGTAATCTTCGTGGGGTCTAGAGCGAGGAAGTGGTCGCGTACAGCACGAAGGGAGTCAGGGAGGCGGGTCGTGAGAAAGTAAAGGGTGAGATAAATGGGTGGCTTGTTCTTTGACCGAAAGGCGGGCTCGAGGGCGGCAGCGTAGCGGGTCCCAAGGGAGCGTAGGTGAGTCAGGAGGTCGGCTCTAGTGGTGATGTCTAACAGCTCAAGAAAGAGGAACGGCAGTGCCAGGCGGCCTACAGTGGCAGACGACGGGGACGAGTAGCGCTTGACTACAGCGCCGTAAAGCGCCTTGGCTGTCTTAAGCTGGCGAAAGTGGGTGCGCTGGTCTAGTGGAAGGTGACTACGGACAGCAAGAGCGGCAGTAGCGTCACGAGAAGTCCACGTGGACCGGTCTACACGGGCAGCTGAGTCAGTAGGGGCATCGAGAGACCCTGAGGTATTCTCAAAGAGAGAGACATCCTCCCTAGTAAAGCTCTGCTGGTCCGAGTGGAGATCCCCTAGCCAAGACTTAAAGTCTACCGGGTGGCCCTTGTCGTCAAAGGTGAGCACAGTAGGGGTCGCCATAGCAGCAGTAACGGTAGTGGCAGTAGCAACAACAGTAGTAGCAGCAGCAGCAGTAAGGGGCGGCTTAGTAGGGCGGCTCGGTTGGGCGGCTCGGCAGGGCGGCTCGAACGGGCGGCTCGACTGGGCGGCTCGGTTTGGCGGCTCGCAGGCAGCAGCAGCAGGCGCGCTAGCCGGCGGTGCAAGCAGCAGCAGCAGCAGCAACAGGCGTGCAAGTGGGGCAGGGCAGGGCGCGAGCTGGCGGTGCAGCAGTGCAGCAGGGGCACTAGCCGGCGGCGTGACAGCTCAAGCGGGGCAGGGCAGGGGCGCGAGCGGGAGGCGCAGGGCAATACGCGGGCGACTCAGGCAGGGCGCACGCAGGCAGCGCGAGCAATGTAGCGCGCAGGGCAGTAGACGGCGGGCCAGCAGCGAGCAGGCAACACAGGCGGCACTGGGCAGCGCGGGCGACGAGCGGGCAGCGTGCGGGCAGCGCACGAGCAGCGCGAGCAGCAGGCGGGCTGGCGCACTAGGCAGCGCGACAGCGCGCGGCTTTGGGCAGGGCAGTGCTGTAACGCACTGGGCAGGGCAGGGTAGCAGCGCGATGGCGTGCTGGGCAGGGCAGAAACGACGGGCCGGGCAGGGGAAAAACAACTGCCGGGCAGAGAGGAACGAATTCAGTGGGCCCTAAAAAATCGGTCCTAAACCGGGACCTACAATGAAACCATGTCAAACTAGGAATGAGTGATTGGATTAGGTCAAAGGGGGGTACAAGTAAGTACAGAGAAGTGTTGTAACCCCTAATAGTAAACCCAATACAGCCTAAGTAAACATAAACACATGTTTTGACAACTCCCTCTATCAGCTGATGCCACTGAATACATGAATGTGAAATCAACTATCTTACTTTCATAAGCGATTCTGAGGTTGAGCTCTATACAGTATTTGGCTTGGGAATTTCGACGGAGATGCTCTTGAGGTGGTGGCTGGCCAACTCACCGACTGTTTCCTTCTGAGCCTTCCATGACACGTGGGATTCCTTAACTGGACGTTATTTTCTCGCGTTTTTTTCCTTTGGTTTGGGAGTGTGCTCGTGGCTTCAAAGCCAGGTCATCCAAGCTGGTGAGTCACAACAAGGCTGTTTCTTGGGTTGAAGTTGAGATATTCTACTGCTCAATCTCCGCCACAGAATGAGGTTCCGATATTTGCTTCTAGCATGCTGAAGCTACTTTGTCCGTGGACCCTGGAGATTCACATTGCAAGATGCTTGTTGAGAAGTGCCAAGCATGCCTATCAGAGTGGGTAACACCCACCCGAGCCGACAGGTGGCAACACCCACCAGTCGCGTGTTGAGAGGGTAATTATTTCCTCCTGCCAGGTTCTGATGTTCCTGTAAAGATCTGCGTGCGACCACCATTCGCGATTTCTTTGGTGATTTTTCAATCCAGCATATGTCAGCTTTGATTCATATATCTCACATTTTGCTTCTTCCAGAAGTTCTTTGGGGCTGATTTGTCTCCTCTTGCCTGACGGTTGAATCCACGCTGGCAAATGATAACAACTCCATCATGTGGATCTTGAATGTCAAGACGTATGGCTCCTCCAATGAGAGGAAATCATGATTACTCTGTGGGTTGTGCAATGCTCGCCTCCCCATGGATCTCGGTTCAGTCAGAGCAATGGCAACATTTCTGTGTTCTCCTTTGCATTACGTATGTTCATCCTGTATACAGAGCTGTACATACATTTTCCAAACTTGTAGCATTCGGACCAATGGGATGCCGCAATATTTCACACACCACAGATTTCACACAGCCGGAAGCACTCCTTTTGTTTTCATTAAATGGGGCAAGATGCTCATTAACTCAATCGGCTGCCCGACCAGTGGTGAATGGTGTGAACCACTCACGTCCACGAACCAGATGCTGCCGAGAGGAAGACGATGCCCTCCCTGCCCTGCCCACGCACCCAGATGGTGATGACGTTTGCGTTGCTCCCCCAACCAGCAGCAACCCTTGAAGGTGAATCCTTTTCATCCATGTGACTTGCTGATGTGGCTGCTTCCTGCCCCCTAGTGCCAGCCACCACAGAAGGAGGGCGGTCAAGGTTGTGGGTGGGAACCTGTCGTCTGAACAGAAAAGAAAGAGAGTCGCCGCAGCCACGCGAATGCATTTCGTCACATTTTTCATCGTGATCCCGGCAGCAAAGTGCGTTACAACTGAAACCACCATGCGGCGAATTGAGGCCATGGACTGAGCCAGAAGGGAACTTCGAAAATCTACAAGTGTTTTCTACTTGTGCACAGCAAGTGCGTTGTGCTCAGCTCACTTCACTTCACTGCCCTGCGTCACGTGGGACCGCATGAGAGCCTTTCGTCATGTGGCCATAATCTACTCTCACCTCCATGCTCTGTACACCGTGGCAACTGACGTGAAACTGACCAACCATAAACGAGAATGACTCGAGGGCCTCTCCGCTAGCCTGTCCCTGACCATGTCTTGATATTCCCAGACTTTGCAAGCCGCTCGTATCCATCTTTCCTGCCCCCCAATCAGGCAGTGCGACGCGTTGCGTGGGTCGCCAAAACCATAAAAATCGGGGGTTGGGTTTCGGTGAACAAGACCTGGCACGGGACGGAACACGACGACCACAGATATTTCCCAGCGATGACCTGCTGCGAGTTGCTGTGAAGTGAATCTTGCCTGCATTTGCCGTGCTTCTGTTTGCTTAGGTAATTGTTGCCTGCCAACCACGCCTCCATCACCCTCCTGCCCCTGCCTCACATTCCTGCCCCCGCTCCGAAGAGACACACACACCATCACACACATACTGTACGCACACTTGCAACGGCTGACCTGCCCGCATTCCCGCATCCAATCCCTCGCTCAGCCGCAGACTCTCAACGAACCATCAACGCCACGCCACGCCACCCTTCCCTGCTCCACAATTTCTGTCTTTCACTCACTATCCTCTCGGCACCTGCTCGTGTCCTCACCTCCTCAACCTCCTAGTCTCCACGCATTTAGGATAAAGTCGGCTCTTTCGTCTACTCGTCGTTTCAGAAACCTCGTCCTTGAACAAATCCTCGAGTTCCAGAAACATTTTTTCTGCTATCAACCACAATCACACCCTGAGGGCCCACTAAGTACCTACAGAGTCATACAATTAGCAACTATGTCAGTATTTCCAGCACATTCCGTAGTTCCCACACTTCTCCCCTCAGCCTTTTCCTTAACCTCGCGTACAGCTCCCACCATGGCATCTGCTGTTTGCGCCTTGTGCCCGGCACCCGCGACCGTCCACTGCCCCGCGGACAGCGCCAATCTCTGCGCGTCGTGCGATCTCGCAGTGCACAGCGCCAACACCATCGTGCACAGACACGTGCGCACCGTCCTCTGCCGCTGCTGCGCCGCGCCCACGACCGTGCAGATCTGCGGCCTGCCCGCCACCGCCGCCACTCCCCTTTGCATCTGCGCCTCCTGCATGATGCCTCTGCTCTGGCCCTCCGCGGAATTCCCTGCAACTAACGCGGGTAACCTGGTTACCAACTCGCAGACGTCTGGGCCGTGCCCGCAGAGCTTAGCGGCAGCTACTGGTAGCCTTCTGCCGGAAGGACTTACGTCCGGGTCGGAGCGGCTTCTGCAGGGGTTCTTAAATGCTAGCTCGACTTTCTCCCTCGGGAACTCCGCTGCTGCGCCGCCTATCATGACCCATCTCCCGCGCCCGGCGGGGTTCGTGACGGGTGTCCGGGGTGGGCTTGTCCAGGCGGCGACTGCGACGCAGCTTGACGATAACTCTCCAATCAGCGTCCTCACAACGGAGTCTGACGCTTTCCGTTCGACGGATTTCGTCAACCAACAACCGCGAAAGAAGATGCCCCAGGAAGGGCTGTTTCACAGAGTACCGTCTCAAGACATGTTTCCTGGGTCGTTCCGACCAGAGGGGTTAATTCGACAGGAGGAAGCCGAGTCGTATCGAGCGTGCGAGCAGCAGCAGCAGCAGCAGCAGCAGCAGCAGCAACGTGAACACAGCCCGCTCACCCTGTCTCTCTTCCCACTCTCCGCCGACGAAGGGGCTTCCGCCGCGGGTATGGCGCGCAGAATTCACACTGATGTGACGGACGATAGCCGCGTGTCGTGCTGCGCTGTCCCGCCGCTGATTCCGGTCGACGAGCCGCAGAGCAAGCGGCAGCGGGTGCAGGCAGGGAGTGGCGTCGGCGCGTCGCGAGCAGCGTCGGCGTTTGTCCCCTTTGTAAGCGAGACTTGCACCCAGGTGAAGCAATTTGATGGTGCAGCGACAATGGTTGGGACCGGTCTGGGGAAGAGGCCATATGAAGCGTGCGAGAAGCTGCAATTTTCGTCAACGGCGGAGGCGACAGGGGCAGCAGCACCAGGAGCGGAGCCTGCGCGGGGAAAGCTGGGAAAGACTGCTTCCGCGCGGCTGCGCCACGTGCTGCTGACGTGGCAGTCACGCCTCGGCCTTCAGGTACCCACGGTTCGCGCATTGGCATTCCACATGCTACAGCGGGTGCTGCTGCGGCTACAGCCGACGGATATGGCGGCGGAGTCGCTGCGCGTGCTGCTGGCCGCGTGTCTGTGGGTCGCGGCTAAGAACGAGGAGAACCAGAAGAGTGTACCGAAAGCGAAGGCGGTTGCTGCTGTAGCGAAGGTGCCTGTATCGCGTCTGGCTGCGTGTGAGATTGAGGTGCTGAAGATGCTGGACTGGCAGCCGCAAAAGGGGTTCAACAGCGAGACGCACGGATTTTGAGTCATCTCGAGAGAATTGAGACCCTAATTTGGGTATGAGCCTCTCTCTGAAATCTGCAATTTTCTGTCACTAGTTTTCGTCCTGGGTGCCAAGTTCAGTCTTGACGGCTTGGCAATGCTGTGCTTAGCAAGCTCATGGCTCTGCTTGCTGCAGCAGCCTAGTTCTAGGTAGAAAATGTAGGAATTGTTGCTTAGTCTACTCTCTTGTCCATAGCATGTCTTTCCAGGCCTTAGCATTTCAATGAGATACTCCCTCCTGAGGTCACTGTAGTGTTTCTTAATTCACTGGTCACCCACTTATGAAAGAGCGAATATTATTAACATGTGTAGATCTGGCTATGGGCAGCTTCTGACCATGATGTTAGCAATGCATACAGAAAGGTGATGCTCTCAGTAGTCCAGCCAAGTTGCCAATATCGAAGGCCCGCGCAGATGGGTGGGGAGCGGTGACGAACTGGGGAATACGTGTGCCATTTCCAGAAGACATGCTCCTGCTAACACCATTTTCAACCGTCTGAAAATCTAGACAAAACGTTCAGAAGCAAAAAAACAACTCATTGAACCGCACTAAGCCGGACTCTTGTCGACACACATACACATCCTCCAATTCGACTTGGGCTTTGAATTTGTGACTTGCTGATGAGTTGACTCAAAACAGCACACCTCAATCAAGGTCAAACAAGCCATGTTGAGGCGAGGCGCGGCGAGGTAGTGATATTGCAGTCTGAACAGGCAGCCAAGGCTCAGTTGAATCCAGGAGGAGCTTTCGCTCTGCTATGGTACCCACACGCGCCAACCACGCACGCACTCATAACAGTTCCTAGCCACCCACCAATGGCGTATCTTGTCGCAAATCCTCCCTTATCTGCTCCTTGTCCTCCGCGTTCCTCCCATTCCCCTCCGTCCTCCTCTACCGCCTTCCCACCGCTGCCGCTTCTCGATCTCGCGGCTCGCGCCGCGGCTCCGAATGTCTCCGCACTTGCCGCTAATCTCCGCATCTTACCGCCGGAATTAGCGCGCCTCGTGTTCTCCGTCCTCCCGCGGCCCCTCGAGCTCGCCGCGATAGACGCCTTTGCTCGCGCCGGCTTCTGGCAACCAGAATCCCTCAACCTCGCTGATGTCTTATCTAAACAACATCCTGCGAGATTTCCGGCGGGATTCCCGGCGGGATTCCCTGCGCGGGTCCCGCTGGAACGGCTAGCTGCGTTCGCGTCGTCGCTGCGCCGCGTGAATCTGAGCGACAGTCGTTTCCTCACGGACCTCGAACCGCTCGGTGGTGAGCATGATGCGAGTGCATCTCAAGCGTTACAGAGTTTGAGTAGACTCTACGAGGAGAGTTTGAGTAGACTCAAGAGGAGAGTTTGAGTAGACTCTACGAGGAGAGTTTGAGTAGACTCTACGAGGAGAGTTTGAGTAGACTCTACGAGGAGAGTTTGAGTAGACTCTACGAGGAGAGTTTGAGTAGACTCTACGAGGAGAGTTTGAGTAGACTCTACGAGGAGAGTTTGAGTAGACTCAAAAGTTCGCGTGAATCGCTTCCTCTCGGACCTCGCGCCGCTAGGCGGTAAGCGCGTTTTTCCGTGTTAGAAGCATGTCTTTCTGGCTTCTCTTTGAGTCGACTCAAAGTTATCTCAGCGACAGTCGCTTCCTCTCGGACCTCGCGCCGCTAAGCGGTAGTAAGCACACTTTCGCTTGTTCTCTTTCTGGTTTGCTTGACGAACGAGGCATGCTTTACGAGAGTGTAGTGGTTTTTTGTTAACGCTGTCAATTTCCTTCTGCACTACTCAGAATAGTGTCTTCAGTGCATTCTGTGCTGCACTGTCCATCCCTCTCGTGTCCCGTTCACTGCTCTTCCCCCTCCTGTACTTCCTCATTGAATTCTTCCCCTTTTTGTCTTCCCCCAGTCCTATTCTCCAAGCTCTTCCTCTTCTCCCACCTCTTCTCTCACCCCCCTTACACGCCCTTCACGCACATCCACACCCATCCACGCCCATCCACGCCCATCCACGCCCATCCACGCCCATCCACGCCCATCCACACCCATCCACGCCCATCCACGCCCATCCACGCCCATCCACGCCCATCCACGCCCATCCACGCCCATCCACGCCCATCCACGCCCTTCCACGCCCTTCCACGCCCATCCACGCCCATCCACGCCCTTCCACGCCCATCCACGCCCATCCACGCCCATCCACGCCCATCCACGCCCTTCCACGCCCTTCCACGCCCTTCCACGCCCATCCACGCCCTTCCACGCCCTTCCACGCCCTTCCACGCTCTTCCGCACCCTTCCACCCCGTTCCACCCATCCCCATCCCACAGCGCTACCTCGCCTCTCCTGCCTTGGGATTGCCGCGTGCCCGTCTCTCCACCAATCAGCGCTCAACATGCTCTGCTGTACGTTCCCATCCCACCTACCGCTGCCTCTCTCTTATTCATACTTGTGTAAACTCCCGTGTCCGCGTAACTCTCTCTTTCTGCCCTTGTCCTTCCGATTTCCCTCCTTGGCTGAGTAATTCTCTCCTGTTGAACATTTCTCGTTGAATCGCTTTCTGAAACGTGAAAACATCTTCTTTTTTTCTAACTTTCCTTTCTCCCTCCTGCACCCAGTGCTTTCCCTGCTTTGTCCCCCAATAGCTGCCCCGCGGCCCCTTTTCGGTCGCTCACACTCTGCACGATGTCCTCTCCATCTTTCCCTTTGTGTCCCCCTTTGTGTCCCCCTTTGTGTCCCCTTTTGTGTCCCCCTTTGTGTCCCCCTTTGTGTCCCCCTTTGTGTGTCCCCCCTTCCCCTCCCCCCAGACCTCCCGTCGCTCACATGCCTTGACCTCTCGCGCAACCTTCTAGTCAATGACGCCACTGCCACTGCTGTCATCCCCTGTAAGCCAGTTCAGAGTCTCAGGTAGTTTGGACCAGGAAAGAAGCCACGTCAACAATGAAATTCTTCCACCAATATCTTGCCATTCCTTTTTCGAGTCGAGTCTCAGGCGTTTTGGACCAGGAAAGAACCCAATCCAAGTCAATTTTGAGAATTCCCATAAGGGAAAGAACCCAACCCAAGTGACTTTTGAGTCGACTCAAAAGTCACCCAGCCCCAGTCAACAGTGAAGTTCTTCTACCGCTGTCGTGTCATTCCTATCTAAGTCCCCACTTTCTCCACCTCTCTCATTCTCTTCACAGGAGTCCATTCTCTCTGGATCTGAGCCACACTGAAGTCACCGCCTCGCTCCGCGTGCCTCAGTTCCAGCTTCAACTCACTTCCTCACTCACGTTTTTCCGTCCTCTCCCCCTCTCCCCTTCTCTTCACAGGGATCCCTTCTCTCCGGTATTTGGATCTGAGCCACACGGCAGTCACCAGCTCGCTCCTCAATTCGCTCTCAACGCTCACCTTGTCCCCCTTCTCCCCTTCTCCTCCTCTCCCCTTCGCTCCTCAGGGATCCCTTCTCTCCAGCATCTGGAGCCGAGTCACACTGGAGTCACCAGCTCGTTCCTTGATTCGCTCTCAATGCTCACTATATCCCCCTTCTCCCCTTCTCTTCCTCTTCCCTTCTCTCCACAGGGATCCACTCTCTCCGGCATCTGGATCTGAGCCACACTGCAGTCACCAGCTCGTTTCTTGATTCGCTCACCTACGGTGCACGGCTGAAGGGTTGGCGGAACAACGCTCAGGAAGCTTCCAAGAAGGCGGACGCGCGGAAGGCAGGTGGGTGGAAGGGGGGGAGGGATTGTGAGTGAGGTTGTGAGCCGAGTTCAAAAGTTTTAGAGCAGTGCTAGTGGGATGGACGAACAGTGCTGAAGGAGCTTGTAGGACGAAACGAGAGAGAGACGTGCTGAAGGGGGAGAGGTGAAGGAAGGCCTTAGTTCGACTTAAAACTCGTTCCATCCCCCCACCTGTACTCCATCGTTACTACACTATTGAAATCATTACCCCCTTTCCCTCGCACGCACACTTCCCATCCATCCACGTCTATAACTCCGTCTCTGCTCTGCTGCTCCTGTCTCCAGCCAAGCGCCCATGGTGGGAGGCGGCCACACACACAATGCCAGCCGCTGACCCCAGCCCACTTGCCGCACACGTAAAGCGATTTCGCCTGAACCAGGAGCAGCAGCAGCAGCAGCAGCAGCAGCAGCAGCAGCCGTTACCAGAGCAACAGCCGCAGGCAGTATGCGAGCAGCAGGAGGTTGAGGGTCAAGAGCAGCCAGAGTGGCGTGACTGCTGTCTGGTCTACCTGCGGCTGCAAGGGACGCTTGTGGATAGGGCTGGAGCCACACACCTGCTAGGTGCGTTCCTTGAGGTGCTTGGACTAGACGAAATCGCTTTATTTTTCGAGAGCAGTCGGAGTGGCGTGAGTGCTTTCTGGTCTACCTGCGGCTGCAAGGGACGCTTGTGGATAGGGTTGGAGCCACACACCTGCTAGGTGCGTTCCTTGAAGCGCTTGGATTAGACGAAATCGCTTTATTTTTCGAGAGCAGTCGGAGTGGCGAGAGTGCCATCTGGTCTACCTGCGGCTGCAGGGGACCCAGGTGGACAAGGCTGGAGCCACACACCTGCTAGGTGCACTTCTTGAGGCGCCTAGTCAAAGTTGCCTTCGTTTCTCCAAGAGCAGCTGGAGTGGCGTGACTGCTGTCTGGTATGCCTACGGCTGCAAGCAAGAGAACTCTGTGGACAAGGCAGGAGCCACACACCTGTTAGGTGTGCTGTGATATACAACACACATGCTGTGGGATTCTGAGAAATCCTATGTGAGGTCTTTGTGAGTCACGTTCCATACAGAGCCTTGCATGCCACGTGTGACTGACTCGTTTTCCCAAGCCTTTTCCCCCTGTCTTGCAGGCCTGAGTGCTACAGTGCCTCTGGGCGGCATGTTCTGTCTGGACGTGAGAGATACACCGGTGAAAGGCGATGTGCTGAGCAAGCTGAGATGTGAGCTGGGGGCGTGTGGGGCGTGTGGGGCTTGTGGGGCTTGTGGGGCGTGTGGGGCGTGTGGGGCTTGTGAGGCGTGTGGCCTCTAAGGGCGTATTCCTGGCTTCGGGTCATCCCGAATTAAATTTCCCGAACCGCGGGACTTCCGACTCGAGCTTCGGGTTTTCCGACTCGAGATGTGGCGAGCTTCGGCGATGGGGTGTTCGAAACTGACTTTGGCCTGAGTGAAAGTTTCGCCAAGCTGATGTGTGACATTTCAGATTTGCACGACTAAATTCATTCAATGTGTCCAGCAACATTGAACATTGCAGTCAGAAAAACTGTCGCGCCAAAGTCGCAGTCGCTCGCCAGCTAGATCTGGCGATTGTAGCTCAAAGTGACGAGAGTAAAGAATTATGGTTTCCATCTAAATTTCCTCCAAAACAACTGGCCGTCAGATTTGGCGTGTTGACCCTAGCTGCTGTATTGCAGCTTGTGTCTTCCCATAATTTCGGATGACTCAAAGAGCGGATGACCCGAAGCCAGGAATACGCCCTAAGATGGTTTGGGTGCTCCAGGGCTTGTGGCTGGTGTGAGATGCGAGCTGGGGGCTTGTCATCTGTTCGTTCGCCACCCTCACCCTTATTCCTCTTCCTTTGCTTTCTTCCTTCCTCAGCCCACCACTGTTCTCTGTACCTTATCGCATATTTCTTGCTTTTCAACCTGCTTCCCCCCCACTCACTGCTTCCCTCTCCACCGCTCTCCACCACTACCCATTGCTCCCCTTCCCCTTCCTTCACTCACTTCACTTTTCTCTTCCTTTGACAGCTACTTTCCATCTGCTCTCTCCACCCAACGAGCCTCGGCTTCTCTGCCGAACCAACGCCCTTGCTCTCAACATCCTCCGAACCTACCCAGGCACGGCGTCCAAACCTAGCCACCGAGCCAGCAGCTCCGGCAATCGTACCCTGGCAAGTGGTGGTTGGGATAGGAACGAAGGAGCGGGAGAACGTGGCAGAGGAAGAGGAAGGGGTATTCGATCGGGGGGGGGGGGGGGGGGGAGAGGGGGGCTCTGAGTGAGGTAGCAGAGGGAGAGAGGGAGTAAGTGGGGGAACAGCAACTATTGAGCAATCACATCAACAGACAAATTTCGTGCGTTCACAGACAAATTATTCTGCTTTGCCACGGGTACCAACGGAGTTACCACCAATATCACAGCCACCAACAGAATTTCCCACTTCTTTACCACTCCCACTACAGGAAGCATTGGCTTCAGCATCAGTATCAGCATCACCAACAGCATCAGCAACAGCACCAGCACCAGCACTAGCAGGAGCATGTGCACTATCGTCAGCATCATCAGTATTGGTACATGAGTGGATATGTGGTTGCCAGCTGGCTGGAGCTGGCACTTCTGCTGCCAGGCAGCCTAGCAGCAGCGGCATGAGCAGCACGATAATCAGTGGCGGCGACAGCGGCGGCGGTGGCAGCAGCAGCGGCGGTGGTGGCGGCATGAGTGAAGGAAGACATCTGGTGGGAAGGCACGCGGAGAGACGTGATGTGGCAGCATCTGATAGGCTGGAGAGTTGGATGCATGAAGGCGTGATGAGCTTCCTCTGTGCTCCTCCTCCCCGCACTCTCCTCCCTCCTCCACTTGCTCCTCCTGTCGCTCCTCCCCTCGCCCCTCCTCCTCCTCATGGTCTTACATTTTCCTCTTCTATGCCTCTGCCACATCTTCCAAAATCACTATTTGCCGGTCATCCGGCAGTCCTACCGTGACTGGTTTTTGGTAGACAGGTGCCGTGAATGCTACATGTACAGGTCTTGTAAGTACGCTGATTACTACTGCTACTGGGAGCAGTGACATTCTAGCTTTTGTTAATTTTGCCTCCAACAGAGGGGCGTAAATGTACCTACTTGGAAAACAGGAGAAGTTCCGTGCTGTAAGCAATACAGTGCTTTATAAGGAACATGGACAATGGGTGTTGCTCTCATTGAGAGTTGAATTCAAGACCTCCCGCTTACTAAACGGGTGCTCTAACCAACTGAGCTATGAGAGCTGTTCCGGCGGAATCGGTCATTTTATGTTACCGTAAACTTTCCAGTGCCTTTGCTTCAATTGGAAAGTTTACACTATTCACCTTATAAACATATAATCCGGAGTTATTGATGTGATGACATTGCCTAGTGCGCAGACAGTCTTCACCTCTCCAAATTACACAAAAACACTGGTGAAGAAATCCAGCATTTCTCTTGTGCCACTTTATTTACAATATGAAGGGTACAAATGTACATGAGTCTCAAGGTTAAAGTGATAGCTAGCTAAGAGAAGCCATGCAAAGGAAACATCAACAGTAGTCCGACATCTACCACATTCAGTAATCATTCCCCATGTACGCAAAGTCCGCTGCCGACGGAGGGGTAACCTCCGAAGGGGTGGTGCTGGTACCTACTGTGAACCGAACCTGTACTCGCCTGCAGATCGTGCGGGCCTGCTCACGCTGGTGGACGAGAGAAATGCGCTTGTAGAAGCTGGTTTCGAACAGTTGTGGAATGAGTTCGGATGAACCGCTCATGTCACGAAGGCGCGAAGCACCACGACAACTGCAATATCGAAGGAAATCCTGGAATGACTTCCCAAAGCACCCAAAAGTCTCAAGCGTCGATGGAAGCAACCTGACGTCAGGCCGGGTGCGCATGGATGATGCGTACAGCGTGGTCTGCTCAGTTTCGCATGTGGCAGCGGCAGAGCCAATCACGGTAGCAGCATTAGAGTGGGGGAAGCCTTGCTGCGGATCAGCTACTGAAATGTCCAAAGCCAAGGTGGAGCCGGCTTGGATGTCTCTGCAGGTGATGTCGGGGCGGCGGCCTGGAAGGAGGTGGTGGTCTTCCAGCTGTGCCACAAGGCCGAGCTCCAAGGTGATGCGGTGCAGTTCGTGCTTGATGGCGTCGTGCACTCTGGTAGGCTCGTTGTTCTTGGGGCAGTGTAGGGCATGGGATGGGAGGGAGGATTCTGAGAAAGAGTGTCCACAAGCGCAAGATTCAGCAGAGCTGAGGTGAGGAATGGGAAGGCCGAGGCGGATAGCAGCAGCAATGCGCCATTCAGATTCAGTGAGTTGCAGCGGAGGCGAGGAAGGAGCCGCAGTAAGCCAATCCCCCGCATGCGGGCCCTGCAGGCAGGTTAAACGGGCCAGGCGAAGAGGGGAAGTGACATTCGCGCGAAATTTCTCGAGCAAAGAGGCCTCAAGCTGCTACGAGAGGTGAGTGAAGAGTTTGGGGGGTAGCCGGGTTGAAGATGAGACCAGGAAGGGAAACGGTAAAGAACTTCTTTGGGGAGCATGGCAGTGGCAGCTGGGATGAACTCGTCAAGGCGATGAATGGTGTCGGAAGAGAGAAAGGGGCGGAAAAGCGGTGAGCCATCAGTGATGAAATGTGTGGACAGTAGTGGAAGCGACTGGGCCCAGCTGCAGAGGTAACTGAGAGGTGCTGTAGAGGCGGAGGAACGAAGGCCAAAGCCCCCAAGGCGAATAGGAAGGAAGACTTGCTGCTGCGCCGTCTTGGTCTGCTCCGTGTCTGGGATCCAAAAGCCAGGGCCAAAAAGCTGGGTGAAGTGGTCCAGGATGGTAGAGTCCCAAGATCTGAAGAGGTCATGTATATCTGGGAATGGCGAAACAGTCCAGAGGAGGAAGGAAGGACGGGCTGATACGCACTGAGAGAGGATGTGGGAGGCAGTCAGAGGGTCATGAAGCTGATGAAGAAGAGGAAGAGAGGCAGCAAATGAGTCAAGCTTCTCCTGTACTGTGGAGATGATGTAGCCGTCCGAGCCAATCGGGACCCGTGCAACATTGAGGCTGTTGGGAGCGATAGGAACACCCGAAGGGGTTGCGCAATCCTGAGGCCAGTCAAGAGGGCACCAGCTGGAACATTTCGAGGGTTGGACTGTAAGGCCCAAGGAATGAAGGCGCTCGGTCAGAGCAGTGAAGGCAGCAGTGATAGTTGAGGGAGGGCCGACGGGGAAGGTGTCGTCAGCGTAAGAGGAGATGAAGATGGATGGAAACTGGTTTTGAGTGGGAAGAATGGCAAGCTGCTGGGTGATGGCATAGAGAAAGGGACCACAGGGGTCCCCCTGGCGCATGCCCGAGGCGGACTCGAATGTATGGAGGGTTGGGCCATAGCGGTAGTGAAGGGGAGATGGGGAGGAGTAGAAGAGGCTGAAGTAGGGAATGAGAGGAGAGAAAGCTGAGGAGCGGAGAGCCTCGAACATGGCAGTCCTGTTAAAGGAGTTGAAGGCGTTAGCTACGTCGAGCTGAAGCACCGCCCAATCAGGATGAAGAGAAAGGGCTGACTGTACGGCGTGCGCCATCACCTCTATGCCAGCAGGAACCGTGACCCCAAACTGCAGGCAAGGAAGGAAGGTGTCCCGCATCTGCTGCTTGAACATGAGGGTGATGCAGCGGGAAAGAATGCGCGGGAGAACTTCTCCAATAGCAATCGGTCGGACCCCACCCTGCGGCTTCTTAAGGGCGACGAGGGTAGATGCAGTGTAGTAGGAGCGGACTGAGAGTGGGAGATCGCCATGCAGCCAGTTTTGGAAGAGGCAGATGAGGGAGGGAAGGTGCTGCTGGGAAGAAAGGAAGGTGTCTCTGAGGTGCTCAATCAACCAACCCGAAGGGCCAGCAGCGGTACCTCGTGGAGCTGATCGAAGAGCCAAGTGGAGGAGCGGGGCTGAAAGCTGTGGATAAGAGTCGGGGGTGAAGGTGGATATCGACTGAGGAAGAGGCTCTGGGGCAGGTGGGTGCTTGGAAGAGAGAGAAGAGATGGTGTCAGGGGAAGGGGGTGCGAACTCGCCGGCTTCCAATGCTGCCAAGGAGCGAGACCAGTTGCCGCACTTGGCAAATCGCGCTGCACGATGGAGGCGAGCCTGCGTGGCTGTAGAGCGTGCTGAAGCAAGGCTGAGAGGGCGAGCAGCAGGGGTGGCAGCGGCAGAGGCTTCAAGGAAAAGCGCATGCCAGTCCCCACTGATAAAGCGCTGAGCAAGAAGGGCGCATGCTGCGGTAAGCGATTGCGAAGGGGCAGTTGCAGTTAGGCGGAGGACGAGGCGCGGAAAAGCAAGCAGAATAAGATGCGCAGCCGTGTCAGAGGGATGTTGTGCAAGCCGTCGAAGGGGGATAAGCATGGCATCAAGCACGAGAAGGCGAATGCGAGGGGGAATGCGGCGGATGATGGGTCCGGGAGAAACTGTCGGGCTGAAGAAAGCAGGCCAATCCCACTCAAGGACAGCATCCCAGGTGGCGGAAGGGATTGCTGACGGAGTGGAGGACTGTGCAGATGCAGTTTGAGCGCGAGGAGGGGCGGGGCGCGGAGGAGGGCAAGCAGCTTGCTGCCTGGCAGTAGAGTTTTGTTGGCAGGAATTGGTATGGCGAGTCAAGGCACCAGCATTGGCGCAAGGGCGGTGACATATAGGGCAGGAAAAAGAGCGAGCAACAGGAGGAGGATTGGTGGGAGTAGTCACCGCGGGGGAAGTAGAAGAGGGCGGGGGAGGGGTGGGGGAAGGAGGAGGATCATCAGTGTAATGCGAGAGAGGGTGGTGATCGTCAGCAGTGGCAGCTGGTGTGGCGTGGTCTGTTGAGTGAGCATCTCGGGCAGAGGAAGAGGTGGAGCGAGTCGTCGAAGGATGGGGTGGCTGTGCCGAAGCAATGGTGTCCTCAATGACTTGGTGAAGGGCGTCCTTCTGTTTCTGGGAGATAATAGGAGGCCTAACATGAGGACGAGAGCTGTGTGAAGAAGGAGGAGGAGGCGGGGGTTGAAGTGAGGTGTGTTTTTGGTTAGAAGAAGAGGGTGTCGGTAAGCATGGCGGAAGAGGAACATGGACAGTAGCGAAAGGAGGGGAAGGACGAGAACGAGCTGTGGACGAGGACGGGGCTGTTGCAGTGAGGTCTGGGGGCCGGGTTCTCTTGCGGGAAGTCATGGGTGGCTAGAATGGGATGGAAAATGTAATTTGTATGGTGGAAGAGTGTAGCAGCACACCATCTAAGCGGGAAATGTGGTAGGCATGAAACGTAGGAGTAGTTGCGGGGGAAAATGCAGCGATCTCGGAAATCCGCCGAAACAACACGTACGCGACACCTAAGCCGCTGAGCCGAGTTCTAAACACACCCGAGCACAGAAAACGGGGCCGAGTTCTCTAGAGGGGGCCGTGAGCTGAACTAAGGGAATCTGTTGTCACGCCGGTAGGGCTACGTTGTGGGGTGCCGTTCAGTAAGTTCTGCTAGCAGGGTCGTGCAAGCTAAGTGCGCGAGCGGAAGGTCGTCGGCTTTGGGCGGGATGACGTGCTACACTCGGAATGGCCAGAGACGTGCTGCTTGTCAGAATGTTATGTTTGTCTAGCCTGCAGTGGGGTACTCAATAGTGAGTACAGCCCAATCTAGGGTTTGCTATATGTACTCAACTGCTTGCTAGTGCAACCCCCTCTTTCTCATTTCTAACTTCCTTTGGTTTCTAACATGGAATCAGAGCAGGTCAACCCCCACGGGTCGATCCTGTGGATGGGCCCACCCAATGCTTCCGCTGCTGCTGTCCTGTCTGTCGCGCGCCCCGTGGCGCGCGACGTTTTTTCTTCCCGCCACGCGCTCCGAGCGCGTGGCGGTTTTCTGCCCGCCGTGCGCCCCGAGGCGCGCGGCGGTTCTCTGCCCGCCATGCGCCCCGAGGCGCGCGGCGGTTTGCTTTCGCACGCTGCGCCCTGGGGGCCCGCGCGTCGCCCCCCCCCATCCCGTCGCCCGTCGAGGCGCCCTGGGGGGCCGCGCGTCGCCCCTAACGTCGCCCGTCCCGGCGCCCAGGGGCGCCGCGCGTCGCCCCTCCCCGTCGCCCGTCGAGGCGCCCTGGGGGGACCGCGCGTTGCCCCCCCCGTCGCCCGTCGAGGTGACCTGGGGGGCCGCGCGTCGCCCCCCCCCACCGCACGTTGAGGTGACCTGGGGTCACGCGGCCCCCCCCGCGGCCCCCCCCCGGGTCGCCTCGACTGGCGACGGGAGGGGCAACAGAAGGGGGCCGCGCGTCGGCCCCTCCCGCCCTGCCCGGCTCTGCCCTGCTGTCGCCCCTGCTGCGGCCCTACCCTGTGTTAGGGATTGGGGGTGGCGAGTGGGGGGTGGCGGGTGTGTGGCATCCCCTGCTCCTCCTCCTACTCCGTCTCCCACTGCTGCAGCTGCCGCTGAGGGGGGTGGGTGTGTGGGAGTCGACGGAGTGGTGCTAGGGGGTGGAGTGTGAGTGAACCTAGGGGTGCAGCAGGGGGTGTGTGAAAGGGGGGTGAGACAGTTAGAAGGAGGTTGGGCGGAGGCAGCCGTCGTGTCGCCAGCAGCGCCAGTAGTCCGGAGGCTACAATCTCCGGTAGCCCAGCGAGCCTGCTGCGCCAGTCGCCCGTGGGTCGTTGCTCCTGCAGCTCAGAGTTAGTCGCGGAGCCAGTTACTCCAGTAGTCCGGAGGCTACAATCTACGGTAGCCACAGTGCGCGCCGCTCCTGTTGCCCGTGTTCTGCAGCTTCACCTGCCGTCTCCTATCTCCTCTCCTCTCACAGTCCCTCCTCCTCCTCACTTGTCCTCTGTGATAGCCTCTAGCTTTGCTTATATTTTTGAACTATAAACTACTACTTTTTGTACTTGTGCTCAGATGTGGTGACTTTGTGATCCACCCTGAGCTTGTTTTGCTTTGCTTGCTGTGCTGATTACACCCCACTTTGGCTATGGGGGTGTGTCAGAATGTTATGTTTGTCTAGCCTGCAGTGGGGTACTCAATAGTGAGTACAGCCCAATCTAGGGTTTGCTATATGTACTCAACTGCTTGCTAGTGCAACCCCCTCTTTCTCATTTCTAACTTCCTTTGGTTTCTAACACTGCTGTGCTGCCAAGTTGCGAACAGACTTGAGGGTATTTAGGAAGTGGTGGTGTGAGGTTTTCCGCTCCTAGACAGAAGGTAGTGAGTTCTTGTTGCTTTTCAGTAGCGCGCGAGCAGCAAGACGAACTACTATTTTTTCGAAAGCTGCAGGTCGTTTTATACTAGCGCCAGCGAGATAGCGTGAGGAGCTGTCAAACTACTATTTTTCGAAAGCTGCAGGTCGTTTTATACTAGCGCCAGCGAGATAGCGCGAGGAGCAGTCAAACTACTATTTTTCGAAAGCTACAGGTCGTTTTATACTAGCGCCAGCGAGATAGCGTGAGGAGCAGTCAAACTACTATTTTTCGAAAGCTGCAGGTCGTTTTATACTAGCGCCAGCATTTCTCTTGTGCACTTTCCCATTCCCTTCCGCACACCTCTCCCAACCATGTGCCTGAAGGCTGCGAACCTAGAAAGATGATTTCTCCACCACTCAAGCTGGTTCCACTCGGAGTTGAGTGCCTAGTGAACACCTCCCTGATTTTGCCATGACAAGGCAGACCAGCACGTCTAGCACTTGTGAATCACAAGGGAGGAGAGCCAGACAAGACGTGTAGGAAGAGATGAAGAAAGTGGGAAGGAAGAACAGGTAAAGAAGAGTCTTGCTCTCATTGAGAGTTGAACTCAAGACCTCCCGCTTACTAAACGGGTGCTCTAACCAACTGAGCTATGAGAGCTGTGTTTCTTAGCAAATAAAACAAATTAACATAAAGTTTTCTTAAGAGATTCTCGATCTTCCCACATTTCTGACATTGACTGACCGCCATGGACGGAAGGCATCACCAGAGGTAGGCAATAGGCATGACGTAGGGTTGCGTCGAGCTCGTCTTAGGAGCTCAACCGACGAGCTTCCTCGGTAATAACATGGGCGCGCATAGCCTCATTGCCTTGTCTCTACGCGCTTCTCTCCTTCTGGTCTTCATGGCATTCCATACGTTCAGGGTGTTTTTGAGAATTCTCTAAAGACATGTGCTAGCAGGGCCTCATTTCCGTGCCTCTTCGCGGTTCCTTCCATCTGGTCTCCGAGAACAGTCCCTATGTTCGTCGCACGTGACCCCCACTCGGTATTCAAGTGTCTGAATATATTCGCCGTTGCGACATGGCGACTTTTGAGGCGCCTCAAAAGCTGAATATGTTCGCCATTGCGACATGGCGACTTTTGAGGCGCCTCAAAAGCTGAATATGTTCGCCATTGCGACATGGTAGCCAAGGGCATTGCGACGCTTGAAGCACCCAGGGGACGCTGAGTCTCGAACCATGTGTTTAACATTGTATCGGTCATTGTGTCAGTCACGGTGTCGTGTCAGTTAATGTATGTGACACTGTAGCTGACATTGTGACTGACATCCGACATTGTAGTTCAAGTGTCATGTCAGTCATTGTGTCTGACATTGTGGCAGTTTAAGTGTCAATCATGGCACTAGCAGACACTAAATCTGACACACTATCGGACACGCTATGTGACACACTATCTGACACACTATCTGACGTTACCGTGCATCCCGCCATTCCCGCCGGCTCCTCTTCTCTATCCACCTCCCACTTGCTCCCCCCTCCCCTCCACTCCCTCTCCCGCCACCTACCCCCATTCCCACTCCCCTCCCTTTTACCCTAACCTATCTTTCTCCGACCTTCCCTTCCCCTCCATCCCCCCCCCCCCCACCCCCCACCCCCTCCTCCCCCTCCCCCACCCCCTTCCCCCCTCAACCCTCCCTCCCTGCCCCCCCATCCTTCCCCCCGGCTCCACTCTCCCCCCGGGATGCCCCCTTCCCCGCGCGCACCTCCCCACTTCCCCAGACATGGCTCCGCGGGCGGAGGCGCGGGGCGGCAGGAGGGGAACCTGTGGGGGCAGGCGCGGAGCGTGTTCATGAGCGCCATACTGGCGGAGCCTCCCCCAGAGATCCGCAGAGAAGGTGGGGAAGTGGGGGAATGGGGGGAAAGGGGAGGGGGGTGGGTGGGTGTACGTACGCGTGAGGGTGGGTGGGGAGGGGAGGCTGATGTGATATTTGAGGCAACCCCCCCTGTTACTCGCCCCACACTCACCAGCACAATAGAATATACGGAGACAACGCCTCCGTATAGTGCGCCGGTCGGCGAAACACCATGCCTGCCCTGCTAGTGGTGGTAAATTTTCAGGCGACTTTTGAGGCGCCTCAAAAGCAACACCACCCCTGCTAGTGGTGGTAAATTTTCAGGCGCTTCAACATTCCCTCTCTCCCTTGTCTTTTCCCTCTGTTCCCCATCCATCCAGTTACTCGTCCCACAATCAACACGGGCACAGTCAGCGGCACAGACGCGCTGACAACGCTGCTGGCAGGGAATGACATCCGTATAGTGCGCCGCCGAGACACCACCCCTGCTGCTGCTGGTGGCGGTGCTGCTGGTGGTGCTGCTGCTCATGCTGCAGCTTCTGCTGGTGATTCTTGAGGCGCTTCAACAATCCCTCTCTCCTTCTCCCCTCTCTCCCCCCCATCCATCCAGTTACTCGTCCCACAATCAGCACCGGCTCAGTCAGCGGCACATATGCCCTGACAACGCTGCTGGCAGGGAATGACATCCGTATAGTGCGCCGCCGAGACACTGCTGATACTGCTGCTGCTGGTGGTGGTATTGGGGGTGGTGCTGCTGCTGCTGCCGGTTCTGGTGGTGATTCTTGAGGCGCTTCAATTTAACAATCCCTCTCCAACTTCTCCCCTCTCGTCCCCCCAACCCAACCCCCCAGTTACTCGTCCCACAATCAACACCAGCACAGTCAGCGGCACAGACGCACTGACAACGCTGCTGGCAGGGAATGACATCCGTATAGTGCGCCGCCGAGACACCACCCCTGCTGCTGGTGGTGCTGTTGGTGGTGGTGCTGGTGGGGCAGCAGGCAGTGGAGTGGGGAAGGGAGAGGGCGGCCGGGGAAGAGGGGCCAACGGAGGCGTGGGAAGGGGGGCAGGGGGAGGCGGAGGAGGGGGAGGATGGGAGGGAGATGGGAGGGAGAGGGGAGGGGTGAGTGAGGAGGAGAAGGAGGCACTGTTTGCAATGGCTGCTCGGCACGAGTGGATGTCGTATCTGAGGGAAGAGATACTGCTGCTGCATGTAAGACCTCAGTTTAAGTGCTTCAAAAGTAGGAGAGTGTATGAGTTGACTCGAAACAAGGAGGCTTAGCTTGCGATGGCTGCTCTGCTCGGCACGAGTGGATGTCGTATTTGAGGGAGGAGATACTGCTGCTGCACGTGAGTTCAGTCTCATCTATCTGCAAACCGGCAACAGTTAGAATATCATTCAGAATATCGTTTCATTCCACGGTTCCTCTCATCGTGTCTTCTCTCTGTGAGATGCACACACACACATCGAGTGGCATTGCTGTTACTTCTTCCCGGGTTTCAATGATGGCATCATCATGCCCCGCCGCCATTGCTGGTATGGTGCCAGCAATCTAGGGCTATGTGATTGTCGGCTGGCGTCCTGTGCGTGAGCAAATCTTCTCGAAACAACAATAGCTTGTGTGGCGCACGGCTGTGTGGATTGATCGGTTGCAAACAGACGACTTTTGAGACGTCTCAAAAGGCTGTGTGGATTGATCGGTTGCAAACAGAGCATTGAAATGTTCCTCAACTATATCACTCATCAATTGTGCGGTTGGTACGTTAGAGCCTCTGAAGATTATCCTCCTTCTCCTTGCGTTCACCTGTGCACTGCACGGTGCACCTCTTCCGTCCCTCTGGCAGATTGAACGGCAGAACGAGCTGGTGGCGGCCCAGCAGCAGCAGAAGAAGAAAAGCGGAGGCACACCCACTGCTGCTGCCGCTGGTGAGTGCATTTTCAAGGCACACCCACTGTTACCGCTGCTGGTGAGTGGATTTTCAAGGCACACCCAATGCTGCCGCTGCTGGTGAGTGCATTTTCGAGTCCCCACGTCTTCTTCCCCCCTCTCACCTCTTCTCTCCAGCAGCAGCCAGGAGCAGGAGCGTGTGGGCGCCAACCAACGACCCAGCAACCATGCTCCAAGCCAAGTTAGACGTTGAAATGCCTCAGTTCAGGACCACCCCCCCCCTGCTGCTGCCGCTGCCCTCTCCCCACCCCTCCCCATCCCCACTCACCCCTACAGCAGCAGCCAGCACCAGGAGCGTGTGGGCGCCAACCAACGACCCAGCAGCCATGCTCCAAGCCAAGCTAGATGTTGAAATGATGCCTCAGTTCAGGACCCCCCCCCCCCACCCCACCCCCCCCTGCTGCTGCCGCTGCCCTCTCCCCACCCCTCCCCACCCCTCCCCATCCCCACTCACCCCTACAGCAGCAGCCAGCACCAGGAGCGAGTGGGCGCCAACCAACGACCCAGCAGCCATGCTCCAAGCCAAACTAGATGTTGAAATGATGCCTCAGTTCAGGACACCCCCCCCCCCCTCCCCCCCCCCCCCCTGCTGCTGCCGCTGCCCTCTCCCCACCCCTCCCCACCCCTACAACAGCAGCCAGCACCAGGAGCGTGTGGGCGCCAACCAACAACCCAGCAACCATGCTCCAAGCCAAGTTAGACATTGAAATGCCTCAGTTCAGGACCACCCCCCCCCTGCTGCTGCCGCTGCCCTCTCCCCACCCCTCCCCATCCCCACTCACCCCTACAGCAGCAGCCAGCACCAGGAGCGTGTGGGCGCCAACCAACGACCCAGCAGCCATGCTCCAAGCCAAGCTAGACGTTGAAATGCCTCAGTTCAGGACCCGCCCCTCTGCTGCTGCCTCTTCCGCCGCTGCTGCCGCTGCCAAGGGGGAACTTCGACGCAAAAAGAGCTCTGCCCCTGATGGATCAGGGGAAAGTCTGTACGAAAATAGGGCGGTTTTGCAGGTGTCCCAGTCTACGCGTGTGCATGGTGGTCCGGTGATGGAAGGGAGGAGAGTGGGCAGGGTGAAGAGTGGAGGAGAGGGAGGGATTGGTGAGGAGGACGAGGAGGAGGAGGAGGAGGAGGAGGAGGGTGGTGGTGTGGTTTCTGGCAGTGCTACAATAGGGTTTGCATCTGCTTCCGTTGGTGGCGCTGCTGGTGCTGGTGGTAATGCTGCTGGTGGCACTGGTGGTATCAGTGGTGTCAGTGGTGTCTTCGGTGGTGGTGGTGGTGATTCAAGCACTGGCAGAGCAACGGCTGCTGCTGTTGCTGCAGCTGTGGCGGCTGCTGGTCCTGCTGCTGCTGATTCGACTGCTACTGGCGCTGACCCATTCTGTAAGCCCATGCCCTTCCACCAGTCTTGTGTTGTGTTCTTGGTTTCCTTGAGACCCCTGGGGAGAGCACCTCGACTGCTGCTGCTGCTGCTGCTGCTGCTGCTGTTGCTGCTGCTGTTGCACCTGCAGCTGTGGCGGCTGCTGGTCCTGCTGCTGCTGATTCTACCGCTGCTGGCGCTCACCCATTCTGTAAGCCCATGCCCATCCATCCACCAGTCTTGTGTTGTGTTGTTGGTTTCCTTGAGACCCCTGGGGAGAGCACATCGACTGCTGCTGCTGCTGCTGCTGCTGCTGCTGCTGCTGCTGTTGCACCTGCAGCTGTGGTGGCTGCTGGTCCTGCTGCTGCTGATTCTACTGCTGCTGGCGCTGACCTACTCTGTAAGCCCATCCATCAACCATTGTTGCTCCCTTCGGAGCAGGGCTGGTTCGCCAGATTCCAGCAAAGCTGCTGCTGCTGCTATGGATGATGTGATTGAGTTTTGTGACTGAGTTTTGTGACTGAGATTTGTGACTGAGTTTTGTGACTGAGTTTTGTGACTGAGTTTTGTAACTGGCATGTGCCAATCCTGAAAGCCCCTTAGCTTACCACGTTTCGGAGCCAGCAGACAGTTGGTTTCACTTTTGAGGTTTCTCGTTTGATTGGAAGAAGCCCCGTGGGAGATGATTGGTGCTTGCTTTTGATTCGACCTCACTCTCTTCCTCCTCTCCCCCTTTTCCACAGCCCGGCGTGCCTCGAGTGGGGAGAGGGCAGCCAAGGCAGCAGCTGAGTATCTTCATCCCGCCTTCCACCCCCCCCTTTCCTCCATCCCCTCAAACAGCCCTCTTCATCCGCCTTCCACCCCCCCCTTTTCCTCCATCCCCTCAAACAGCCCTCTTCATCCGCCTTCCACCCCCCCCTCTCCTCCATCCCCTCAACAGCCCGGCGTGCGTCGAGTGGGGAGAGGGCGGCCAAGGCAGCAGCAGAGGCGGCGACAACGGGCGGGCAGAGGATGATCCGCGTGTGGGAGAGAATGAAGCGCATTATCCCCAACAACCCCTCCTCTGCTGCCGCCGCTGCTGCCTCTGATGCTGCTGACGCTGCTGGTGGTAACAACGAGTTTCTTCCAGAGGTGGGTCTGGTCATTCAGGATATTGAAGGTTGTTTTGAGACGTCTCAAAACAACTCTTTTATCATGATGCTGCTGACGCTGCTCGTGGTAACAACGAGGTTCTTCCAGAGGTGGGTCTGGTCATTCAGGATATTGAAGGTTGTTTTGAGACGTCTCAAAACAACTCTTTTATCATGATGCTGCTGACGCTGCTGGTGGTAACAACGAGTTTCTTCCAGAGGTGGGTCTGGTCATTCAGGATATAATAAAAGGCCACCATCGCATGGGTTTAGTTTAGTTTTGAGGCGCCTCAAAAGGTCACCATAGTATGGGTTTAGTTTTGAGGCGCCTCAAAAGGTCACCATAGTATGGGTTTAGTTTAGTTTTGAGGCGCCTCAAAAGGTCACCATAGTATGGGTTTAGTTTAGTTTTGAGGCGCCTCAAAAGGTCACCATAGTATGGGTTTAGTTTAGTTTTGAGGCGCCTCAAAAGGTCACCATAGTATGGGTTTAGTTTAGTTTTGAGGCGCCTCACAAGGTCACCATAGTATGGGTTTAGTTTTGAGGCGCCTCAAAAGGTCACCATAGTATGGGTTTAGTTTCTATAGTAATGGGGCAGGAATGGGTCAGGAGGAGGACGATTGGCTGGACATTAAGGACCTGGACCTACTATATCTTTTAAGGACGCCTAAAAAAGGTGGCGCATTGAACCCTAAACCCCCGTACCCCTCCCCTTCCTTCTCCCCCGTCACCACCCCCACCAGGCGTGTCATTGCAGGCATATCTGCGTCAGTCGCTCTCGGCTGGACTCATCCCCTCCCTCCACTGACCGAAAGGGACCACCAGCTCATGTTGTCTGATTAGCCCCTCCCTGCCCATCCCTCCCCCCTTCCCTCCCTCCTCTCCCCTACCCCCACCAGGCGTGTCATCGCAGCCACCTCAGCCAGTCGCTTTTGGCTGGACTCATCCCTGCTGACCAGAGAGGCCCCCCTCCTTGTTGCACTCGTGTCGCAATTAATCCCCTCTCCGCCCATCCTTTCTCCGCTCCCTTCTCCTCTCTCCCAACCCCACCAGGCGTGCCATCGCAGCCACCTCAGCCAGTCGCTTTTGGCTGGACTCATCCCTGCTGACCAGAGAGGCCCCTCCTGTGGTCGGATTCACCTTCTCTCTGCCCATCTGTTCCCCGCTCTCTGCCCTCCCTCCCCCTTGTCTGCCATCAGGCGTGCCATTGCAGCCACCTCAGCCAGTCGCTCTCGGCTGGACTCATCCCTGCTGACCAGAGAGGCCCTTCCTGTGGTCGGATTCACCTTCTGAGAATTCTCAAAAGTGATTCCAACATTCCCGCTGATCAAAGGATGCCGCTCCTGTTGTCGGATTAGCCTTCTCCCTGCCCATCCATTCCCTGTTCTCCCCCCTCCCTCCCCTTTTTATGTCACACCAGGCGTGTCATCGCAGCCACCTGAGCCAGTCGCTCTCGGCTGGACTCATCCCCGCTGACCAGAGAGGCCCCTCCTGGATTGCCATGGCGTGTTCCGACCCTGAGGTACGGCCTCTCCGACCCTGAGGTATGGCATGCTGCGACCGTGAGCCTGAGGTATGGCACATTCCGAACCTGAGGTACGTACCGTACGGCATGCTTTAAGCAAGCAAGCGACTTGTCTTTCACACTGAAACAGTAGAGTCGAGGCCTGCACCATGAGAGAACGACGGAAATGGCCGCACCGCACCGCACCGCCCCCAACCCACACCAATGCCTACCTGCGTCATCATCCGCAGTCAAAAACCCTCGTTCAGCAACTTTCTTGGCAAATCATCGACCCCGTAATTGGCTGTTTTAGTGTGCCCTCTAGTTCCTCATTTTCATATGTCCTTTAATGAGAAACTAAGAGTTGTGTTTTCCTGATGTCTTTATTCTCCCCACCTGCTCTCTACCAGGACGACCTTATCAATCGCACCGCACCACACCAGCTACACGCTGCTCAGCTGAGCCTCGTGAACTTAGAAGTGTTTTGAGACGTCTCAAAACACTTCTAATTTCACAGGACGACCTTACCAATCGCACCAGCTACACGCTGCTGAGCTGAGCCTTCCCCTTTTCCAACTCCTCTCCCTACTATTCGTCCTTCCGTTCCCATTGCCTCCCTCTCCTCTCCCCACACCAGGACGACCTCATCAACCGCACCAGCTACTCGCAGCTCAAGGAGCGAGCTGCCTCTGCCTTTTGAGACGACTCAAAAGTCATCTGCGAGCTGCCTCTGGGAGCTGCCTCTGGGAGCTGCCTCTACTATCCCTCCTTCCGTTACCAATGCCTATGCCTTCAATTTATTCTCCCCTCTCCCAATACCAGGACGATCTTATCAATCGCACCAGCTATTCGCAGCTCAAGGAGCGAGCTGCCTCTGCACCTCCCACTGCGTATGTTCTCATCTGATCCACAAGCTCTTTCTCTCTCCTCTGCTTTTGAGAATTCTTAAAAGTGATTTTCACCTCCCACTGCGTATGTTCTCATCTCATCTACAACCTCTTTCTCTCTCCTCTGCTTCGCCTCCCTCTCCTCTCCTCCCCTTAGCTTCTCTGTCGTCCTCCCTTCACTTCTGTGTCTCCTCTGTAGCATGTCGCTCCGCCCATTCCTTCCTCGCTCCGCCCATTCCTTCCTCTTTCCTCCCCTTCCTTCCTCGCTCCGCCCATTCCTTCCTCTCTCCTCCCCTTCCTTCCTCACTCCGCCCATTCCTTCCTCTCTCCTCCCCTTCCTTCCGCTTCTCCCGCCCCTCCAGAGAGGTATACCGTGACACGCTCTGTGTGGTGCTGGAGTGGAGGGAGAAGCAGGCCCAAGCACTCCCCTTCACTTCTCCCTCCGCGTTTGCATCTCTCTCTCTCCTCTTTTTCGTGTCTCTCCTCCCGCCCCTCCAGAGAGGTATACCGTGACACGCTCTGTGTGGTGCTGGAGTGGAGGGAGAAGCAGGCCCAAGCACTCCACCTGAAGCAGGAGCAGGAGCAGCAACAGCAGCAAGAGAAATGGCACGGCGATAGTAACCAGGAGGGTAACCAGGAGGGTGAGCAGGACGCAGCAGCAGCAGCATCAGGCAACGGGGCATCTGTACCCTCTATAGCGTTCTCCGCTAAGCGCCCCCCTGCTGCTGTGGCTGCTGAGAAAGCGGCTAAGCTGATGGCTGCTGCAGCAGAGAGGCAAGCCCGGGAAGCAGCACAGATCGCATCTGCTGCTGCTGCTTCTGCCATCGCTGCCGCTGCCGCCGCTTCTGCTGTTGGTGATGACTCTCCTCCTGATGCTGCTGCTGCTGCCGTTGCCGCTGTTGCTGCTGCTGCCGATGCTGCTGCTGCTGATGCTGCCGGGGAAGGTGTGAGCGTGGTGGTGGTGGGGGTGGAGGATGGGCTGAGTGAGGAGGACGCAGCTCTACACCAGTCGCTGCTGAACCTCATCAAATCATACTCCGTGAGTTGAACACATAGACGACTTTTGAGACGTCTCAAAAGTAGCATACTCCGTGAGTTGAACACATAGTACGGCAGCAGCAGCTCACACTCCAGCGGCATGGGGTGGTTGGCGCTCACACTGCTCATGTCTCATACCCCTCCTTCTCCTTCTCCACCTTGGCCCCCCCTTGTCCACCCTCCCCGCCAGGTGTGTGACCTGGACACGTGGTACAGCAGCGGCATGGCATGGATGGCACTCACACCGCTGCTCTCCTCGCCCTCCCTTTCCTTCCCCAATCCCCCCCAACCCCCTCAGGTGTGTGACCCAGACACGTGGTACTGCAGCGGCATGGGGTGGATGGCGCTCACACTGCTCTCCCTCATGGCGGAGGAGGACGCCTTCCTCTCCCTCCTCTTCCTCATGCACCGCTCGTTTCCCCTCTCCCCCCTCCTTCCCTCAGGTGTTTTGGTGGTCCCAAGGCACATGGAACTGCAGGGGCAGAGGGTGGGCTGCGCTGCTCTTTGCCCCTCTCCCTCCTCACCCCAACACTCTCCCCCTCCTCTTTTTTCCCCATTCCCCCCTCAACTACCCCCTCTAATAGGTGTGTGACCCGGACACGTGGTACTGCAGCGGCATGGGGTGGATGGCGCTCACTCTGTTCTCCCTCATGGCGGAGGAAGACGCCTTCCTCTCCCTCCTCTTCCTCATGCACCGCTCTCCTTGCCCCCTCCCCCCTCCTTCCTCCTTTCCTGCTGGTGATTTCACCCCAACACATGGTACCGCAGCAGCATGCGGAGGCCACTCCCCTGCCCTTCTCTTTCCTCTCTCTGCCCTCATATCCCACTCTCCCTCAAACACCCTCCCCCCTCCACCAGGTGTGTGACCCGGACACGTGGTACTGCAGCGGCATGGGGTGGATGGCGCTCACTCTGCTCTCCCTCATGGCGGAGGAAGACGCCTTCCTCTCCCTCCTCTTCCTCATGCACCGCTCTCCTTGCCCCCTCCCCCCTCCTTCCTCCTTTCCTGCTGGTGATTTCACCCCAACACATGGTACCGCAGCAGCATGCGGAGGCCACTCCCCTGCCCTTCTCTTTCCTCTCTCTGCCCTCATATCCCACTCTCCCTCAAACACCCTCCCCCCTCCACCAGGTGTGTGACCCGGACACGTGGTACTGCAGCGGCATGGGGTGGATGGCGCTCACTCTGCTCTCCCTCATGGCGGAGGAAGACGCCTTCCTCTCCCTCCTCTTCCTCATGCACCGCTCGTTTCCCCTCTCCCCCCTCCTTCCCTCAGGTGTTTTGGTGGTCCCAAGGCACATGGAACTGCAGGGGCAGAGGGTGGGCTGCTCTTTGCCCCTCTCCCTCCTCACCCCAACACTCTCCCCCTCCTCTTTTTCCCCATTCCCCCCTCAACTACCCCCTCTAATAGGTGTGTGACCCGGACACGTGGTACTGCAGCGGCATGGGGTGGATGGCGCTCACTCTGTTCTCCCTCATGGCGGAGGAAGACGCCTTCCTCTCCCTCCTCTTCCTCATGCACCGCTCTCCTTGCCCCCTCCCCCCTCCTTCCTCCTTTCCTGCTGGTGATTTCACCCCAACACATGGTACCGCAGCAGCATGCGGAGGCCACTCCCCTGCCCTTCTCTTTCCTCTCTCTGCCCTCATATCCCACTCTCCCTCAAACACCCTCCCCCCTCCACCAGGTGTGTGACCCGGACACGTGGTACTGCAGCGGCATGGGGTGGATGGCGCTCACTCTGCTCTCCCTCATGGCGGAGGAAGACGCCTTCCTCTCCCTCCTCTTCCTCATGCACCGCTGCGGCCTCCGAGGGCTCTTTGCGCCCAACATGCACCAGGTGGGTGTGGCTGAGATGAAAGAGAGGGGACACTGTACTGTCCATACTCTGGCGTCGTTATGATCTCATTGTTATGTTTCCATTGCCATTGGGGTTCCTCTCCGTCCTCTTCCTCATGCACCGCTGCGGCCTCCGCGGGCTCTTTGCACCCAACATGCACCAGGTGGGTCAGGCTGACCCAGAGCCGAAATGCGAGGGAGGTGACTTATGCACACGGTGAGGGGTGTTATGATCTCATTCTCATTATTCCAACGCCATACGGGCTCCTCCCCTCGCCTTCCTCTCCCTCCTCTTCCTCATGCACCGCTGCGGCCTCCGAGGCGTCTTTGCGCCCAACATGCACCAGGTGGGGTTGAGGGCGGGGGAATATGACATTTACACACGCTGAACAGTGTAGTTTTAGCTGTCTCTCTTCCCCTCTCCTCCCTCTCCCTTTTTCGGCTCACCACTCGCCTCTCCGAGCGTCCCTCTTCACATACTGCTGCCCTTGATTATGAGTAAAAAAGGCCTCTCCCAGCTCTCCCAGTCCCACTCTAAGCCGTAACTTTCAAATCATCACCAAATTCCTTCTCTCCCTCTTTCTCTCCTCCCTCTCCCCTTTTGTCCAGCTCAACACGCGCCTCTCGCAGCTCTCCCAGTTCCTGGCAGAGTCCACACCTCTTCCAGCTTCACCTCTCACCTCACTGTCAAACCCTCTCGTCCGCTTCCCCTCTCCTCCCTTCTGTCCCCCGTCCAGCTCAACACGCGCCTCTCGCAGCTCTCCCAGTTCCTGGCAGAGTCCACGCCTCGCCTGCACTCCTTCTTTGAAGACCTGCAGCTCAAGCCAGTGAGTCTGCTGAGTTGACTTGTGCTGAATTTTGTCAACTTGAGTTGACTTGCATTGACTCCACGCCTCGCCTGCACTCCTTCTTTGAAGACCTGCAGCTCAAACCAGTGAGGTTGACTGAGTCTGAGTTGACTTGCTTTGACTTGAGTTGACTCGAGCTGTCCATGTGCACTTGTGTAGTGTTGCCTCTCCTGCACTCCTTTCAGGACCTGCAGCTCAAACCAGTGAGTCCCCTGTGTTGACTTTTGTTAACTCGAGTTGACTAGAGTTGACTTGCATTGACTTGGATTGACCTGAGCTGTTCATGTGCACTTGTGTCGTGTTGCCTCCCCTGCACTCTTTCTTTGCGTTGACTTGGGCTGACTTTAGTTGACTTAAGTTGACATGTTTGCTCGTGTGGCCTTTTTGTTGATTTGTCTGCTCTTATGTGCCGTGCTTCTTCCCTCCACCAGAGCATGTATGCAGCGGACTGGCTGCTCTCCCTCTTTGCCCGCCGCATGCCGCTCCCCTTCCTTACCTCCCTCTTCTCCACCCCCCACCCCCCTTCCTGCTTCTTCCCTCCACCAGAGCATGTATGCAGCGGACTGGCTGCTCTCCCTTTTCGCCCGCCACATGCCTCAGTACCTTGTGTACCGAGTGTTTGACATCGTGCTTGGTAGGCGACTCACCCCACCTGCTTGTACCTTGTGATGTGAGCTGGATGGATGCATTGTGCCATGTGCTCGCCACATGCCTCAGTACCTTGTGTACCGTGTGTCTGACATCGTGCTGGGTACGTGGCTCGTTTGCTGCGCCTCGTATGGTTGTTGAAAGCGGCACAGACACACACGCTATGCCTTGTATGCAATTCCTACCTCACCTAATACTCGGTATGCCCCGGCACAGACGGGAATGCCCCTGAGGCGTCATCCATAACCCTAAACCCGAAACCCTTACCTAATACTCGGTGAGCCCTGGTACCTCATGCATTGTGTGCTTGCCATCGTGCTTGCTAGGTATACTCCTCATGCCCTGTGTGTGCCACATACAGCATATTCCTATTGCACTTGAGTGTATGTCGCACTCAATGAGCGTCTTGTCTTGGAAACACCTAGGTACTTTCCACACCACAACACCTATATCTGCCCGTGTCCATGTTCTCTGCTTGTGTGTGCATTTCCCCCCCCCATCGCATCCTATCGCATCGCACCACACACCACATCACGTGTACAGCTGAGAGGACCATGTCAGTGGTGTTCAAGCTCGCCATAGTGCTGCTGCAGGTACGTGCGTGCTGCCCTCATCGCATCACACCACACCACACCACACCACACCACACCACACCACACCACACCACACCACACCACACCACACCACACCACACCACATCCATTCACATCTACTGCTGAAAAGACCATGTCAGTGGTGTTCAAGCTCGCCATAGTGCTGCTGCAGGTACGAATTTTCAAATAACTTCGCCCGTCTGTGGAGCTGTGTGCATCCCTCCTTCCTGCATTCCTCAGCCTCCTGCTATCTCGTGTTATTTCCCTCGCTTCCCACTGCCTCGTTTGAGGCCCCTCGGTCATCTCGCCTCCTCCTCAGCCACTTGCTAATCCCGTGTTTACTCCCCTTTCTTCCCCTCCCTCAGGTCACCCGGCGTCAGCTAATCCCGTGTCTACTCCCCTTTCTTCCCCTCCCTCAGGTCACCCGGCGTCAGCTAATCCTGTGTCTACTTCCCTTTCTTCCCCTCCCTCAGACCCCTCGCCTCGCCTCCCCCACTGCCACTTCCTAATCCCATTCGCTTTCCCCATTCTTCCCCTCCACCAGGTCACCCGGCGTCAGCTAATGCTGTGTCCCGAGTTCGACTACTGCCTGCACTTCCTTTCCTTCACTCTCAGCTGCCTCTGGAACTCGACGTTGTTGATCCATCGACCTCCTCTTTTCTCCTCTTCTTTCTCCCGTGCCTCCTCCCTCTTCCTACTCCCATTCTCCTCTCCCCTCTGCCTGCTCGCTCCCCTCTCTCTCATGATTCAGGTCACCCGGCGTCAGCTGATGCTGTGTCCCGAGTTCGACTACTGTCTTCACTTCCTTCACTCCGAGCTGCCTCTGGAGCTCAATGTGAGTTGTGGTTCTTGCTTTGTTGCACAGTATCTAAGAAATGGTACTACAACGATTTTTGAGTCGACTCAAAAATCGCCTCATCTAAGAAATGGTAATACAACGCCACTTTTCGCACTGCCTGCGGCGCTGCACTGCACTGCACTGCACTGCGAGCTGCCTCTGGAACACAGCATGAGTTAGTGGAGTGGAATTTCTTGATGCGACTCAATCAATCTGCCTGCCCTGTGAGAGCACAGCATAACACGCCCTCCCCCGTTCATTCCCTCCCTCACTCTCTTCCCTTCCTCTCCCTGTTTCCCTTCCCCCCCCTCCACCAATCAGCTCCTGCCGGACAGGGAAGTCGAGGAGCTGGTCTCCAAGGCCCTGAGGGTGCGCCTGCCTTTTGAGAGCGTGCTGCGGCTGGAAGCAGGTGAGAACAGGGGACGTTGAAACCAGGAGAAGGTTGCATCCGATTTTGAGACGTCTCAAAATTTTGAGACGTCTCAAAACTGAAACCAGGAGAAGGTTGCATCCGAGCTTGGGAGTAGGGAGTGTGTATCCAAGGTGCTGAGGGTGTGCTTGCCGTTTGACAGTATGCTACTTTTGAGACGTCTCAAAAGTCGTCTATGTGCTCAACTCACGGAGTGTGCTACTTTTGAGACGTCTCAAAAGTTTCTACAGCTTCTAGTTTCTTTCAGGTGTGCTTGCCGTTTGACAGTGTGCTGCGACTGGAGGCAGGTAAGCACAGGGGGAGGGTGGAACAAGGGGCGGTCAGGGCTGGGGAAGGTTGTTTCTGGGCTATGGAATAGCTGGGAAGGTTAGTGGGACCAGGGAAATACCCGTGTTGGCATGCGTTTCTATAAAACTCCCCCAAAACGCCTGCAACCGCTCTGTTGGTAATTCTTAAAAGTGACTCATATAGCGTTTTTTTCTAGAATTCTTATGAAGAACGCCTGCAATAGCAGAGGCATCAAGCTAAGCATATCTTGCTCCTGATTCCTACCCTTCCCCTTTACCTGAACTCCCATCTTCTACCCTCCATCCAGAGTATGATCAGTTGGCAGGGGAAGCAGCAGTGGCGGCACGGCACAGGAGGTGCAGGCAGCAGCAGAGGCAATAAGCCAACCATGCCTCGTCTGTGATCTGTATCTCCCACCCTCTATGCTTGTCAAATCCCTTGTAACTCCACCCAGAGTACGACCAGCTAGCGGGGGAGGCAGCAGTTGCAGCACAGGAGGTGCAGGCAGCAGCAGAGGCGCGTAAGGTGGCTGCAGAGTCCGTCTAGGCAATTGATCAACCATGTCTCACGCTTGATCTCTTATCCTTGTACTTTGCCCCTTGTTAAACGCCCATGTAACTCCATCCAGATTACGACCAGCTGGCAGGGGAAGCGGCGGTGGCAGCACAGGAGGTGCAGGCAGCGGGAGAGGCGATAAGCCAGCACTGTCTCATCCCTGTTACCTACCTTTCAACCCCTCGCCCATGTGCCTCTGTGCAGAGTACGACCAGCTGGCGGGGGAAGCAGCGGTGGCGGCACAGGAGGTGCAGGCAGCAGCAGAGGCGAGTGAGGTGGCTGCAGAGTCGTGGGAGCGGGACAGGCAGGAGCTGGAGGGGGAGCTGCTGCATGCACTTGAGGTGAGGTGATTGGGATTGGTGCAGGTGAGTTGGTTAGGGTCTGAAGGTGAGACACTTGGGGTCTACTTGCGTACTGGTCAGTCATTGAGTCGTGGGAGCGCGACAGGCAGGAGCTGGAGGGAGAAGTGCTGTACGCACTTGAGGTGAGATGAATGAGGTGAGGTGAGACGTGTGGGGCTAGTTGCAGGGCACACGAGACACATGCTTGCATGGCTGCGCCCATAGTGGAAGAGCAGCAATTCTAAAGAGTGACGCTTAAAGCAACACAAGGAAAACCCCCAGGGCACACGAGGCACATGCTTGCATGGCTGCAGAGTCGTGGGAGCGAGGTGAGGTGAGGTGTGTGAGGCTGGAGGTCTTGAGTCGTGGGAGCGAGACAGGCAGGAGCTGGAGGGAGAACTACTGCACGCGCTTGAGGTGAGGAGATTGGGATTTGTGCAGAACCTGCACTACAGGTGAGTTAAGGGTGAGTTGGTTAGGGTCTGTAAACAGAGCCGAGGGATAGCTGCCTGTCGTGCTGCCTGTCGCGCTGCCTGTTGCTTCAGAGTCGTGGGAGCGCGGCAGGCAGGAGCTGGAGGGCGAACTGCTGCACGTGCTTGAGGTGAGATGATTGGGAGGGGGATAGCAGTGCCTTAGTCGGAGTCGTTAGCTATAGTGATTCACAAACAGTCAGGCTTCTGGTTTCGTCTCAGACGTACCTCGCAGCGCTCTTCTCTCACTCTCGAGACATACCAATGCCTTTATCCCCACCTGTCCAACTCTGTATCCCCCCCTCCTGTCCCCTCTTCCCGCCATCAGCTACTGGGGTCGTCTCAGACATACCTCTCAGCACTCTTCTCTCACTTCAAGGCTGTTCAGGCCCGCGCCGGTCTCACCAGACAGCTGAGTGCCGCTGCTGCTGCTGCTGCTGCTGCTGCTAGTGCAGCTGGTGCTGCTGGTGCTTCCAACCCTGCTGTTTCTGAGTCTGCCCTGCCGGTTGCTGCCGGGTCTGCCGAACCTGCCGCTGCTGTGTCTGCCGAACCTGCCGCTGCTGAGTCTGCCGAACCTGCCGCTGCTGAGTCTGCCGAACCTGCCGCTGCTGAGTTTGCCCTACCTGCAGTTGCTGAGTCTGCCGAGCCTGCTGTCGCTGCTGAACCTGTTGCTACTGAGGCTGCCGAGCCTGCTGTCGCTGAGTCTGCTGAGCCTGCTGAGCCTGCTGCTACTGAGGCTGCCGAACCTGCTGTTGCTGAGTCTGAACCTGCAGTTTCTGCGACTGTCGAGCCTGCCGTTGCTGAGTCTGCCGAGAGTGCCCCTGCTGCATCTGCCGTGCCTGCGGCTGCTGATTCTGCCGAACCTACTACTGCTGGGTCTACCGAACCTGCTGCTGCTGAGCCTGCTGAGCCTGCCGAGCCTGTTGCTGCAGAGTCTGCCGAACCTGCAGTTGTTGAGTCTGCCGAACCTGCCGCTGCTGAATCTTCCGAACCTGCCGCTGCTGAGTCTGCCAAGCCTGCCGTTTCGGATTTGTCTGCAGAGCCTGCTGCTGCTAAAACTGCCGAGCCTGCCTCTGCTGGTTCTGCCGAACCTGCCGCTGCTGAGTCTGCCGAAACTGCTGCTGCTGAATCTGCCGAGCCTGCAGTTGCTGAGTCTGCCGAGCCTGCTGCCACTGAGACTGCCGAAGCTGCCGCTGCTTTGTCTGCAGAGCCTGCCGCCGCTGAGTCTGCTGAACCTGCTGCTGCTGAGTCTGCCGAGCCTGCTGCCGCTGAGCCTGCCGAGGCTGCCGCTGCTGAGAGTGCCGATCCTGCCGGCGCCGAGTCTGTCGAACCTGCTGCTACTGAGTCTGCCGAACCTGCCAGCGCCGAGTCTGTCGAGCCTGCTGTTGCTGAGTCTGCCGAACCTGCTGCCGCTGAGTCTGCCGAACCTGCAGTTGCTGAGTCTGCCGAGCCTGCCGGCGCTGAGTCTGCCGAGCCTATTGTTGCTGAGTCTGCCAAGCCTGCTGCTTCTGAGTCTGCCGAGCCTGCAGTTGTTGAGTCTTCCGAACCTGCTGCCGCTGAGTCTGCAGAGACAGTTGTTGGCGAGTCTGCTGAGCCTGCCACTGCTGAGTCTGTCGAGCCTGCTGCTGCTGATTCTGCTGAACCTGCCGCTGTTGAGCCAACCGAATCTGCCACTGATGATCCTGCCGGACCTGCCGCTGTTGAGCCTTCTGAACCTTCTGTATCAGAGTGTGCTGAGCCTGCTGTTGCTGAGCCTGCTGTTGCTGAGCCTGCTGCTGATTCTATGGAATCAGCATCTAATGCTCTGCCTGCCTCTTCAGAAGCACTCAATCCTGATTCTCAGCAGTTAGGTCCTCATGCTGCTGCCCCTCAAACTCACCCAGTCTCGCTTCCCTCAGACTCCAAATCCTTCTCCCTTCCCGACCTCCCACCTCTTCCCGAGCCTCCGACTCCTCCCGAACCTGCCCAGCCTCGGCCGCTGGTGGTTCGGATCCCGGGCCTGGAGCCCGGAGCTGACATCAGCAGCATGTCCACTGCTGCTTTGCTAAGTGCTGTGGCGGCGCTTAGGAAGCAGAGGGCAGCAGCGGAGGCGGCACTTATGGCAGCAGAGCAGCAGCTTATGGAGTGTATACGGAGCGATAATGCGGCAATAGATGCGTGCTTGAGGGGGCAGGCTATGAGGGCGAGGAAGCGGCAGTTGGTTGGGCGCAAGGGAAGCGACTCTGGTGTGGGGTGCTGAGAGGTATGCAACAGTAGTGCTGAGAGGATGGAGAGCAGGAGAGTAGCAGCTAATGGAGTGTATCAGGAGTGACAATGCAGCGATAGATGCGGGCCTGAGAGGACAAGCTATGAGGGCGAGGAAGCGGCAGTTGGTTGGGCGCAAGGGAAGTGTGGGGTGCTGAGAGGTAGCAGAGAAGCAGAGCAGCAGCTAATGGAGTGTATCAAGAGTGATAATGCGGCAATAGATATGTGCCTGAGGGGGCAAGCGATGAGGGCGAGGAAGAGGCAGTTGGTTGGGCGCAAGGGAAACGGTTCTGGTGTGGGGTGCTGAGAGGTAGCAGAGAAGCAGAGCAGCACCAGCGGCCAAGGGAGTGTATCAGGAGTGACAATGCAGCGAGACTAGATGCGTGGCTGAGGGGGCATGCTATGAGGGAAAGGGAAACGGCTCTGGTGTGGGGTGCTGAGAGGTACCTTCTGAGTCAACCCAAAGGTAATGGAGGGTACCTCAAGAGTGATACTGCAGCGATAGATGCGTGGCTGAGAGGGATACAATACAACTCGGATGTTGAGAGGGAGGGCTCTTTACAGTGTACGAGTTGGAAGTTCAAGGTGGTGTGGTGAGGAGAACAAATGGGGTGATGGTGATGTGAGATTGCTGGGATTGAAGTTTTTGAAGTTTTTGCTGTGCTTCTGTTTGGGATGCTTAACCTATACCCAGTCTGTTTGGTAATAGGGTTCAAAGCCTATTACCAGTATACCCAGTCTGTTTGGTTCGTTCAACACTAGACTCATGTATTGTGCTACTTGAGAGTGCCGCTGGAGATCTTTTGCTCGGTGTCGGCTGTATTGTATTGCTGGGCTTCTTGGGACTGTATCTGTTACTTGCCTACAAGTTTGGGAGTGAGTAGAGGTATTCCCTACACAAGAAGGGGAGCCTGCGTTCACAGAAAACAGTGAACGAGACAACAGCAAAAGAGGGGTGCTCCGAGAATCGAACTCGGGACCTCTCGCACCCGAAGCGAGAATCATACCACTAGACCAAGCACCCGATGACAAAAGCATTGTCTAAAAATATACGAAGCTTAATTTTGAGTTTTAGCTTCACCGTGAAGCCTCTTTCACAATAACTCATTTCCTATGCGATCTGACAGGACGCCATGAAGCGACGAGCCGGCAGTGCGAGCAGCTCTCGCGCGCGTAAGTGTTGAAGGTGGTTGGCTAACCATGACCTAGAACGACCTAACGCGATCTACATCGACCTAAGAAGAATTCGGTTTGACGAGCTGTGACTAAGGGAAAGCGAGGACCTAAGAAGAAGAGGAGCTACCTATGTTGGGACGGTGGAAGGAGAAACACGGTAGCGGCGCGACCTGCAGTGGGAATCGAAGAGAAGGAGGGGAAGTGTGCAGAAATGGAGAAGAAAACAGCTGAAATGTCGAGATTCCAAGCGACGTGAAGAGAAGTCACGCCGGGTCAAAGGCGCGTCCAAGGAAGTCTGATTCGAACTCGAGGCGCGTTCGGTGCATGGTTGGATTTGGAAATTGAGCCGAGTACAACTCAGCTCGAAATTAGGCGCGGCGCGAGGGCGAAATCAGAAATCCTTTTGCTTATAACTTGCTTTGTGTTTTCTGTTTTTGCATGCCTTCTTCAATGAAATTACTTGAACTTTCTGCCTTGGCGTTTTCCAGCAAATTCCTTCACACAGTTGGGGCCAGAGCTTCATATGCTTGTTACTAAGACTCTAAATAGTCTTCATAGTCTAGACTAAAGGCTGCGCACGTACAAGAGCTGGTATCAGAGCTGGTTTAAGGCGTGTTCTAGCGTTTTAAGGATAGGCGGAATTTACTAAGTATGACGGGCGATCATACTGAGGCGAGTTCGGGCTCCTCTGTGAGCATTGGAGGCTCAGAACTACAGGCCATCCTAACAGCGCTAGCACAAGCTAAATTGACGGCGAAGTCAACGATTGGGCTTAGCGAGGCCCAACGATTCCATGGAGAAAATTATAGCACGTGGCGACTCAAGCTCATTCGTAGAGCGGAGGAAGTGGATCTCTGGCCGTATTATCATCCCGACAAGGAAACGGGAGAGGGCGTCCCACCATCTGCAAAAGAAAAACCAGAAGAAAATGCGTCATTCAAAAAAAAGGAGTAAGCAAGCTTTTTTCCAATTGTGTCATTCAGTTTCGGACAGCATTGCAGTGGGGCTGGATCAATTTGCTGGAGAGGAGAACTCTGCCGAACGAGCCTGGGAGTACATGGAAGCTGCTTACCTTGGACTTACGGATACCAACAAAGCCGCCATTCGGAAGAAACTTCTCCTATTGAATATGGAGCCGAGGGAGAGGGTCATTGACTACATAAATCGAGCAAAGGGGTACAATGACGACCTCAAGGCTATGGGGGCAGCTGAAACTGAAGGAGAAATGATGGGGTACATCATTAGTGGGCTGCCCAAGGAGTGGGAAGCAGAGATAGGGCTCCTAACCTGCAACCCACCCGCAAATATGACCAAGCTGTTGGAGACGCTCCAAGCTCTGGAGCGGGTGAAAGCTGATCGGCTCAGGAAGGAGGTTAGCTTGAATGGAATGGGACCAGCCACACATGCTATGGTAAACGCAGCAGCAACAGGGAAAGGATATGGAGGTTTCGGGGCGTGTTTTCAGTGTGGAAAGAAGGGTCATAAGCAGATAGACTGCTATGATAACCCAAGGAGCAGAAATTTCAAGGGGAAATGGAGCGGTCCGCAGCAGAAGGGGCTGCAGAACGGATGGCAGCAGAGAGAGGGGGAGGTTCGAGGTGATAACAAGATGCAGAGAGGCGGATTTTCAGGGGCATGTCACTATTGCCAGAAAATTGGGCATAGGGCAGCCAACTGCTACTCGAACCCCAACAGCAGGAACTACCAAGGAGCAAACCAGCAGCAAATCAAACCAGCAGCAGCAAAAGCAAATGCAGTGGAAGCTGAAAACAGTGAAGCGGACGTCATCTTGGGAGGAGCTCACAAGGCAAACGTGGCAAGGGCATCGGGGGTGTGTTTGGTGGCAAAGGGGTTCGGTGAAGCAGCGTGGTTCATGGACAGTGGGTGCACTCAGCACATGACCAATCACTGCGAGTGGCTTACAAATCTGAGGGACTCCAACGTACCGTATGTGCTCTTGGGGGATGAAGGGAAGCTGATTGTGAAGGGGGAAGGAGAGTTGCTACTCCAAGGAAAGTTGTGGGTTTTCAATGAGGATTGGAAGGTGGTTGCAGAAGGGAACAGAAATCAGGGGTTGTATGAAATGAAGCTGAGGAAGAAGGGGCTGGAGGATGAGAATGCCACCTACCTGACATCACTCGAAGGGGACCTAGCTAGGGAGGAGTTGAAGGCTCGGCTTGGTGGCTTACCTGTGAAGGAGCTGCAGCAGGAAGCTTCTGCCATGGTGGTTGGGATGGAGCAGGTGGAATTGGAGACCTTGCACAGGCGCATGGGGCATGCAAGCATGGATAGGGTCAAGGAGTTGGTCAAAAAGGGCATGGTAAAAGGTGTGGCACTGAAGGAGGGGGCTGGAAGCAAGGGAAAATGCAGCAAGTGTGTTGAAGGTAAAATCACAAAGTCCCCTCACCCCCACCACCAGGTACATGAGCCTTATGGCACCTTGGACATCGTAGCAGCCGATGTGTGTGGGCCTATGAGGGTGGCGTCACGACACGGCAGCCGCTACTTCGTTACCTTCACTGATTTGGGAACGAGGCACACATGGGTGACGGAGCTGAAAGATAAGGCAGAAGTGTTTCCTAGCTTCGTGACTTGGATGGCGGAAGCGGAACGGCAAAGTGGGAAGGTGCTGAAAGTTTTAAGGACAGATAATGGAGGGGAGTTTACCGGTGAGCTGTTCAACAAGTTTTTACAGAGCAAGGGTATCCGACGGCAGCTGACTGTACCCTACACTCCACAGCATAACAGCATAGCGGAGCGAGTGAATCGGTCTCTACTAGACAGCGTGAGGAGCATGCTGGCCGACAGTGGGTTGCCGCTGAAATTTTGGGGTGATGCATTAGCTATGGCGTGCTGGTCCAAGAACCGGCTACCTACCAAGGGACTTCGGGCAGATATGACTCCCCACGAGGCCTTCTATGGCAGGAAGCCGAATCTGGGGTTCGCTCGGGTGTGGGGAAGTATGGTGCAATACAGGGAGCCAGCCGGTCCGGATCATAAGTTGCTGCCCAAGGCTCATTGGGGGATTAACCTCGGTACCTGCCCGGTGAGCAAGGGGTGGGTGATCAAGGATGTAATTTCAGGGAAGGTCATGATCACCCGGGATGTTGTCTTCTACGAGGAGGTGAACTACCTGCAGTGGAAGGGAGTAGAGAAAGAGATTGCAGCAGCAGGGACAGCAATTGCACCGGACAAGGTGGACGATCTTTTGGAAGAAAAGGAGAGTGAGGGAGTTGGTGATGAAGGAGATGAGGAACTCGAAGATGTGGAACGGGCAGATTCAGTTGATTGGGTGTGGGAGAAGGCACCAACCAGGGAAGCGGATGAAAGCAAGGTAGTGGAGATAGCAGGGGAGCAGCCAAGCAAAGAAGTAGCTGAGGATGGCATTGATGAAGTGGCTGAAGAAGAGGGAGATGAAGAATCAGCAGCTGAAGGAGATAGTGATCCTTGGAAGCTTCTAAACAGTGATGACAACAATGCCAAGATGAGGGAGATAGAGGAATTACTTGAGGAGGGCGCCATCGTGATTGGAAGGGAAGTGAAGAATGGAGAAGGGAAAGCACTGGCGGATTCCAGTGAGGATGAGGTCGAGTCACTTGCAGAGGAGTTGGGGAAAGGAAAGAGGGTGAAGAAACCAAACCCTCGGTATGCGCAACTGCTGATGACGTGCTGGAAGGACATCCATACCCACCTCCTACTCTCTGCCACAGCTACTGACCTAGTCTCCAATGAAGGAAAAGTGACACACAACCTGCCCAAAGAACCAGTGAGCATCGAGGAGGCGCTAGAGGGTCCAGAAAGGGAGCAGTGGAAAGCGGCAATTGAGGAGGAGTTGAACACATTGGCTGAAAGGGGCACATGGGAGCTCGTGCCTATGCCAGAAGGAAGGAAAGCCGTGGGGGTGAAGTGGATTTTTAAGATCAAGACCGGAGATATGGGGCAGCTGGAAAGGTTCAAAGCAAGGCTCGTAGCCAAGGGCTACACTCAGGTGGAGGGGAAAGACTACAACAAGAACGAAATCTATGCTCCAGTGAGCAAGTTGACAACGGCACGGGTCTTTCTCAAGGTGGTAGCAGCAAGGAAATATTTCATGGTGCAGCTGGATATTAAAAACGCGTTTTTGTATGGGGTGCTGAAGGAGGACATCTACCTCGAGCAACCACCAGGGCATGACGATGGCTCGGGCAGAAAATGCAAGCTCAACAAGGCATTATATGGGCTGAAGCAAAGTCCTAGGGAGTGGTATATGGCGATGGATGAGCGGCTACTGCAAGGGGGATTTCAGAAAAGTGAGTGTGATAGGGCATTCTACTGGAAGGGAGAAGGGAAGGAGAAGGTGTTCTTGGTGCTATACGTGGACGACATCTTAGTGGCAGGGGCGTTAGAGGAGGAGGTAGAGAAGGTGTGCACTCACCTTGCGGAAGTGTTTCAAGTGAAGCAAATTCCACGGACCACACTCTTTCTCGGCATGAATCTGGAGCGGCGTAAGGAGGAGAGCAAGATGTTTCTGTACCAGCAGAAATATTGCAGCAGGGTGCAGCAGAGGTTTGGCAACGGCTACACGAAGGCGATTTCTACACCATTGAGTGGGGTAGCTGAAAACGACGGTGAACGAGAGGAAGATGTCAACCAATGGGGTAGCAAGGAGAGGGCTCTACAGGTATACCAGTCCATGGTGGGGTCCATAATGTATCCGGTCTCATGCACGCGTGTCGATATGGCATACGCAGCTAGCTATCTTGGGCAACAAGTGCAGCAGCAAGGGGAGAGAAAATGGAGAGAGATGAGGAGGACTATCGACTACCTACTGCAACATGAAGATGAGGGACTGTTATTCGAAGGAGGTGAAGAGACCTTGGAGTTAGTGGGGTATGCGGATGCTTCGCACGCATCCGACAAGAAAACAAGGAAGGGAGCATACGGTTACGTGTTTCTGCTCGGCGGGACAGCAATCATGTGGCAAGCGAAAAAGTTGGCTGACATATCGCTCTCTAGTGCGGAAACGGAGTGCATGGCTCTGTTTTACGCATGCCAAGAGGGGGTTTGGCTGAGAAGGCTACTCAAGGAGATGGAAATAAAGGTGGAAGGACCTACGGTGATTCGCTCGGACAGCAAATCTGCAATCGATTTGGCTCATAACGACAATTGGCACGGCAGGACCAAGCATATGGACGTGAAGTATCATTGGGTGCGTTCAAAGGTGAGTAGCAAAGAGTTTGAGTTTGAATTCGTGCGTACGGAGGCACAGACGGCAGATTTTCTGACTAAGGTGTTACCAAGGGCTAATTTTGAGCGTTGCAAGAGAGAGGTTGGGATACGTACCTTGGCTGAATTGCAGGGGAGTGTGGTGCTGGCCTAGAGGTGGTTCAAGGTGAAACGTACGAGGGAGCGTGCATAAGCTGGTGGTTAGCAAACCACAGGGGAGATTGTTGAAGGTGGTTGGCTAACCATGACCTAGAACGACCTAACGCGATCTACATCGACCTAAGAAGAATTCGGTTTGACGAGCTGTGAATAAGGGAAAGCGAGGACCTAAGAAGAAGAGGAGCTACCTATGTTGGGACGGTGGAAGGAGAAACACGGTAGCGGCGCGACCTGCAGTGGGAATCGAAGAGAAGGAGGGGAAGTGTGCAGAAATGGAGAAGAAAACAGCTGAAATGTCGAGATTCCAAGCGACGTGAAGAGAAGTCACGCCGGGTCAAAGGCGCGTCCAAGGAAGTCTGATTCGAACTCGAGGCGCGTTCGGTGCATGGTTGGATTTGGAAATTGAGCCGAGTACAACTCAGCTCGAAATTAGGCGCGGCGCGAGGGCGAAATCAGAAATCCTTTTGCTTATAACTTGCTTTGTGTTTTCTGTTTTTGCATGCCTTCTTCAATGAAATTACTTGAACTTTCTGCCTTGGCGTTTTCCAGCAAATTCCTTCACACAGTTGGGGCCAGAGCTTCATATGCTTGTTACTAAGACTCTAAATAGTCTTCATAGTCTAGACTAAAGGCTGCGCACGTACAAGAGCTGGTATCAGGGAGAGACGGCCGATCCCCTTCTCCTCGCCTTCAGGTACTTCCCGCCTTAGCTCTCACCTCTCCTGCATTTTTTCGTTTCTATTTTTTTAATTAATATATGTATTTTTTCACTTATTTTTACGCTATGTCACAACTTCTACGTGCAATGTTTCCAATGTCACACTGGCTGCCGGTGAGTGCAGGGAAATAGCAGCCACCGTTACAGTCACATCTAAGCAACGCGATATCGCACTCCGCTTGTCGTGTCCTGTCTGCCATGGCTGTCGCGTTAACTCCAAAGACAACCCCAACTGCTTCTGCTGCCTCGCGCCACTTCCCGGAACCTTTCGCAAACGCGGCTTATGGCGGATTATCTCGAATCTTTCGCGAGATACAGACGATCTTTCCGCGGAGCTTCGCGAATCCACGTCATCCCCCGTAGGATTGACCAATCTCGGCGCGACCTGTTACATCAACAGCATCCTCCAATGCTTATATCGAATCCCGGGTTTCCTACGCGGATTCTTCGCCACGGACGACGTCACGCTACGTCAGCACCCGGTCCTGTTAGAGCTAGCTCGCATTTTCGTCAATCTGACGGTTGGCTGCCGGTCAGTGGTGAATCCGTCAAAGTTGACGGACGTCCTTCAGTTAGACAGTGACGTGCAGCAGGACGGTCAGGAATTTATGAAACTCTTTCTCTCCCTCCTAGAATCCCTCCTCTCCTCCTCCTCCCTTTCCTCCTCCTCCCCCCTTTCCTCCTCCTCTAACGCATCTTCCATCCTTGTACCCTCTGCCAATGGGCCAGCCAATCCCGTGCTGCCAGGTGGCTTTCTGGCGCATCTGTTCCGAGGGACGTACTCCTATGTGACCACGTGAGTGGCTTGCGCTTGCCACGTGCAACCCTCTGTTGCTTTGCCTTAAAGCATGTGCTAGCACGTGTGCCTGTTTGCTCAGTCGTGTTGTAATTCCAGCCCAGTGTCTGTTATTTGCATTCGCACCCACCCCTCCCTCCCCTCCGCTCCGCCCCATGCCCTCCTTGCTCCCCCTTTTCACCTCCTCTCCATCCATCACATTATACCACACCGCATCATACCACACCGCACCCCACCCTACCACAATGCCACCAGGTGCTGCGAGTGTGGCCAGCCCTCAGCCTCGTCCTCCCGCCTCGTTCCCTTTTACGAGCTCGAGTTACCCCTGCACTCTTCAGCACAGGAAGCAGCACACACGCACACGTGCCTCCCCAGACGAAGGGACCTCTCAAACGCAAGGCCAAGGGAGGAGCAGCTGCGGCAGCAGCAGGGGAGAAGGGTGGGAAGGGGAAGGGAGGAACAGTAGCAACAGGGGAGAAGGGTGGGAAGGGGAAGGGGGGAACAGTAGCAACAGGGGAGAAGGCCGGTGGTGTGTCTGTGCAGGAGTGTGTTGAGCGTTACACAGCAGAGGAGCGGCTGGATGGTGGTAACCAGATGTGCTGCGAGCAGTGTGGGCGAAAAACGGACGCCACAAGAAGGGTGTGCATTCACAGCGTGCCTCCCGTGCTGAACCTGCACCTCATGCGCTTCGTGTTCGATGCAAAGGTAGGTTGATATGGGAGCAAAGAGGTTATAATGGTGGTAACCAGATGTGCTGCAAGCAGAAAACGGATGCCACAAGGAGGGTGTGCTTTTGCATCCTGCCCCCGTGCTGAACCTGCACACCTCATGCGCTTCGTGTTCGATGGCAAGGTGTGTGTATGGTGGTACAGATTTTTGAGTGGATAAAAACATCTCTTATTACACCCTGACTGAGTCTCTCTCGTTTCACGTGCATCTGTGTGCGTCACTGCTCTGAAACCCACTGCTGCAGACCACTTTTGAGGCGCCTAAAAAATAGTCACTGCTCTGAAACCCACTGCAGGCCACGAGCGAGAGTGAATCAAAGTCTGACAAGCTTAGACATTCTTGTTACTCCCCACTGGAATTTTCGTCTTTGTCTGATCTGTTTTCACGTGCACCTGTCTGTGTCACTGCTCTGCCACTGCAGACCATGAGCAAGAAGAAAGTGACTTCAGGGGTCCGGATCCCTCTCACTCTCGACCTTTCACCGTACGTGGTGCAACCACGAGGTGATTCCTGCAGAGAAGCCGGCGAGCCTGTGGCAGAAGAAGCTGCAGAAGCAGCAGCTGCACCACCAGCAGCTGCAGCACCAACAGTGAGAGCAGGAGGAGCAAGAGGAGCAGGAGCGGCAGGGGCAGGAGCAGGGGCAGGAGGAGCTGGGGTAGTGAGTAACGCTGGGTGTGCTGCAGGCGATGGGAGGCCAAGGGGAGGGAAGCGAAGCAACAGAGGAAGTGGGGTAAGAGGGGAGGAATTCCGGCAGTGGGGAGGGGGGAAGAGGCGAGGTGGTTCAGCAAGAAAGGGAGGAAGAGGAGGAGGGGAAGAAGAAGGAGCAGGAAAAGCAGAAGCAGGAGAAGGAAAAGCAGAAACAGGAGAAGGACAAGCAGAAGCAGGAAAAGGTAGATCAGAAGCAGGAGAAGGAAAAGCAGAAGCAGGAGAAGGAAAGGCAGAAGCAGGAGAAGAGCAAAGAACAGCGGAGCCTAGTCAGACGACATCCGAGCCTCCTAGACCTAGTCTTAAGTACCAGTTAGTAGCGATTCTGCAGCACAAAAGCAGGCAGGCGTCGTGCGGGCACTACGTGGCACATGTGAAAGAAGTGCACTGTGGAGAGTGGTGGTTGTACAATGATGAAGAGGTGGTGAGGCTGGGCCGACACCCCATGGGGGAGGGGAAGGGGGACAAGGGGGGTGTAAAAGCGTCTGGGAAGGGGACAGAGAATGGGGCTGGTAAGGGGGTTTTCGAGGCACCTCAAGACGCTATGGGGGAGGAGAAGGGGGCTGAAAGGGTAGAGACGCATTTAGTTAATAAGGCGGCGGGGGGGGCAGAGGAGAATGGCAGGATTAGTGGCAGTGGAGGTGGAGAGGAAGGAGCAGGAGGAGGAGATGGAGCAACGGTGGCAGCAGGAGAGGTAGAGGCAGCAGGAGAAATGGGGGCAGCAGGAGGAGAAGCAGAAGTAGGAGGCGCAGGAGTAGGAGCAGCAGGGGAAGGAGCAGCAGGGGCAGCAGGAGAAGGGATAGCAGGGGCTGATTATACGACTTCTGTGACTTATGTGAAGAAAGAAGCGGCTTCAGATGTCTGTGACCCTCATACGATTGACCTAGATGGAATTAATACTGATGGGACCGACCCTGAAAAGACTAACCCTCCGCCGATTGACCTTGATCAGAATGAACCTCATGGACCTGACCCCGATCTGATTGTGCTTGATGCGACTGACCCTGATCGGATTGACCCTAATGGGACTGACCCTGATACCATTGACGTGGATCGGATTTCAGACGGTGTGGATGCAAGGGACGGTAAGCGGAGTAAGGAGGGGAGTGAGGAGGAGTGGGTTTCGGAGGTTTCAGTGAACGGCTATGTCCACCCCCCCTCGTGTGGACCACAGAAGCGACGCAGAGTAGGGCGACAACGAGGCCTTGAGTCGTTTCTCAAGCCCGCAGCCTCTGAGAATCCACCTGACGAAACACCTGACGGTTCTGGCAAGGCGCCTCTGAAGAAGCAGATCTCGTTGCTGACGGATTCTGTTGCTGCTCCACCTGGAAAAGCACCTGTAAGGCAACGGCGGTCAGCGTCCTTAGCTCAGCATGTGACAGTGACAAGCAAGAAGCAAGAGGCAGTTTGTAACGGTGTGCATGGTGCGGACAGTGGTGGTGGGGTGTGCGGGCCGGTTGGTTCCAGGAAAAGGGGGACTGCAGTGAACGGTCGGGAGGGAGAGGGGGAGGAGGAGGAGGTGACGTCAGCAGATGCATACATGCTTATATACGTGCGGGAGGGCTTCGGGGAAGGAGAGGAAGGGGAGGGGGTGGGGTTCAGTGGGTTTGTGAACTTTGATAAGGCAGCTAGTGCAATTGAGGGTGAGTGTGTCCCATTGAGAGGGGATGGTAGTGGGAGTGGTAGGGGTGAAGCAGTGAGAGGCGATGGTACTACTAGTAATGGTGCCAATGGTGCTAAGGCAGGAGATGTGAAAGCACATCAGCCCATTGCAACTCCTGGTGAATCACCTGAACCAACAGCAGAACCACCTGATGCGGCGGTTAAAGCACCAGAAGCAGCAGCAGGGGCACCTGATGCTGCAGCGGAAGCGCCTGGCGCACCTGTTAAAGCATCCGAAGCCATTGTGGAAGCAGCTGGCAAAGACAAAATGCTCTTCTCGGGATGTGACTACGTCCGTCTGCCCCGGTTCCTCGTAGACGAGGTGACTAAAACGAATGCTGCGTTTCAACAGCAGTGCGAGGAGCAGAGGAGGTGGGACGAGGAAGCGAGGAGGGGGATAAACGAGAGGAGGAGCGAGGTGCAAAACGTGCTGTCTCTGATGCCTGTCGGCCGTAGGGAGGAGGGGAATCGAGTACTGGAGGCGGATGGTGCGGGAGGGGAAGCAGAGGAGAAGGGCGATGCTGAGGAGGGAGAGGAGGAGTTCTTTTGGATCAGCGCCGAGTGGCTCAAGGCTTGGGCTGATAGCGAGGATTTGCCGTGAGTCACCACCGTACACCTCCCAACACCACTTTTTGAGTTGGAGTAAGAAATTCGCCCTCACAACCTCATGGAGCACCCCTCTCCCCACCTCCCCACCTCCCCACCTCCCGGACTTACACCTTCACCCATCTATTAATTGATGCTATTTTCACTCACATCAATCTCTATTAATTCAAAGATATGTAACGTTTCTTTAAAAAACTCTTTTCTCTATCCACCTCCCTGCGCCGCCAAACTCCTCCCACCCCACTTTCCACACACGTTATTTGAGGCGCCGCCAAACTCCTCTCACCCCACTTTCCACACACGTTATATGTTTCCCATACGTTTCCGCTGTCTGCAGAGGTCCCCTTGACAACACCCCTCTCCTGTGCCCTCCTCACGGGCTGGTGCCACGAGCCAGCCTGCCTCTCAATACCTCCCTCTCACTCCCCTCACCCCTCCCATCTCTCCCTTTCCCTGTCTGCAGAGGTCCCATTGACAACACCCCTCTCCTGTGCCCTTCTCACGGGCTGGTACCACGAGCCAGCCTGCCTCTCATGAAGCGTGTGTCGCCTGTCGCATGGGCCATGCTGGTTTCCCAGGTACGTGTGACCCTCTTTGTGGGAGCAGCGTGGCACAGGAGTGTGTGCACCACCCCCCACCCATGGCCTGGTGCCACGAGCCAGCCTGCCTCTCATGAAGCGAATATCGCCTGTAGCATGGGCCATGCTGGTCTCCCAGGTGCGTGTGACCCTTTTTGTACGTTTCACGGTCCCTAAATCCTTTTTTTTACGTTTTACGGTCCCCAAATCCCTTTTTTAACGCTGTTTTCGCTCGTCTCCCAGGCGGTGTGCTGCTGCGAGCGTGTGATGTGGTGACAGAGGCCCTCGCAGCAGTGCGAGCACACAGAGTCAAGTCATCATCTCACCTCTCGTTTTCTCTTTCTGCTTCAATTTCCGTTTCTTCTTCTACTCCCTTCTTTTCTTCACAGTACGAAGGTGGTCCGGCCCTCTCCCAGGTAGCATGCTGCTCGGAGTGTTTGATCGCAGAGGCGCTGGCAGCAGTGAGTGCAGGCAGCTACAGGGAGGAGAGGGCGCGCGTGCGACTGCTGGTGGAAGAAAACATCAAAGGAAGGGGCATAGATAGGCCAGGATACTACGTCTCCAAGCCATGGTGAGTGCAGATATATGTGCACCCCCCATTCCACCTCCCCCAATTCCACTTCCCCCTTCCCCACCTCCCCATCTTGCCACATACACGCTGAACCTTTAGATGCCTCAGAGCTCCCCCCTCCCCAATCCTTTCCCCCTTTTCCCCGTCTCCCCTCTCACAGGCTGAACAGCTGGCTTAGAAGGACAAAAGCTGACGCCCCTACTGCGGCTGACAGCAACCCCCTGGGCGGCATTGTTTGTCCGCATCTGGGGTTGATGCCGGAGGGTGGAGGAGGGGAGGCGAGGAGGGCTGTTGTGAGTGGAGAGGTTTGGGGGTGGCTGAAACTGTGGGCGGAGGAGGGGAGGAGGAGAGGAGAGGAGGAGAGAGTGAAAGAGGCGGAGGAGGAGAGGGGGGAAGAGGAAGAGGGTGTGAGGCGAGGAGAGGAGGGGAAAGTGAAAGAGGCCAAGGGGAGAGCGAGGGAAGCTGAGAGCAAGAGTGTGTGAGAGGGGGATAAGAGTTTGGGGAATGTGGAGAGCTTGAGTGAAGGAGAGGGCTACAAGAGTAAAGGAGAGGGGGAGTTTCCAGCTAGCAATGCACAAGGCATCAAGGAAGAGAAGGAAGAGGGAGTGGGAGAAGCAAAGGGTGGTTTTGAGTTTTACCCAGCTCCAACAGCTGTGAATCACAGTCATTCATTGGAGTTCCCAGCCTCTACTGCAGAGTGTGCCGTGTGCGTGGCAGCAGCAGCAGAGGCAGCTGAGCAGGCAGGTGCACTGAGTCTCGTTCAACAGCAGCAGCGCCAACAATTCCTCCGCCTCTTCTCCCTCCGCCCCCTTCCCCTTTCCCGCCCTCCCTCCCTCTCCCCACACCCCTCCGCAGTAACCTCCTACCGTCCCTCTTCCCCCATCTCTTCCCCTCGCCCCGCCTCCTCCTCTCCACCCTCCTCTCCTTCCCCACCTTCGCCACTGGGTGCATCTCGCAAGACACAGCAACAGGAGCCTGTTTCTGAGGCGCCTCAAAAGCAAGAGGAGTGTGGATACCCCTACGCACTCATCCCCTCCTCCTGGGTCGCCCTCTGGCGCTCCTTCCTCTCCGCCTCGCCTTCTGCCGCCAGTCGGACTGCGCCTATCCCCACCTCCGCTGAACCAGCACCTGCAGCACCTGCAGCACCTGCAGCGACAGCAGCACCTGCAGGGGCACCGGCATGCCAGCAAACGCCGCCCAGTCTAGACGGGGCACTGAGGGCCATGCGGTGTCAGCAGCATGGGGGGCTGGTTGCGCCGCTGCCGGCACTGGTTGGCAGGAAAGGCGAGCTGCTTCAGGCAAACTCTGAGTCGGTGAGTATCCCTTTCCTGTTTGAGACGTCTCAAAGTGTTTTCCCAGTTTGGAGGGTGCACTAAGGGCCGTGCGGTGCGAGCAGCATGGGGGGCTGGTGGCCCCGCTGCCAGTACTGGCTAGCAGGAGGAAGGGCGAGCTACTTCAGGCAAACACTGAGTCTGTGAGTATCTCTCCCTTAGTAGAACACACATGTAGCTAATCCATTTGTTTTGAGACATCTCAAAGGCCCCTCCCTGTCTAGAAGGGGCACTGAGGGCCAAGTTTTTTTAGATGACAAATATAGATATTGTTTTCAAATGGTTATGTGTGCACCTGCAAAAACATCACTCATTCGTTTGCTATAGGACAACCATATAAATGTGTTGACAAATGAGCGACGAGAGCTGGCCATCGCTGCCAAGGCGCTGAAACATTTCATCTCGCGCGAGCTCGAGTCAAACCAATGGCGGTGGTGGTCCATGTTTCACAAACGGGCTTTAGGGCGTGACCCCACTTGTCCAACGACCACAGGGCTGACCTCAAAGGCAACCCACGCGCTGATTTCCAAGTGCCTTACGATGGATCCATGGATGACTCCGCGAGTGCCTGACGTAAAGAGGACCACCCTCGCAGCCATGGATTATACAAATCCCAAAACCAATTCGATTTCGCCAGCCAGCTGTCGTTGTGAGAAACCACGCCACGGGAGCTCACGGTTTGTTGTGAGGGTTGACAAGCAAGCTCGAAACTGGAGAGCATGCCAGGCAGGTGGCGGTTGATGATGGCTGAAGGAGCGAGGCGATGAGGTCCCATGGGTGTCGCAACCTCCCCAAGTGTCTGTGAAAGTGGCTGGAATCGCAGGCCCACGCTCGAACTATAGGTCTGCCCACTTTCTTACCGTACAGCCATTTAAACATACAGCTTTGCCCGTTCCCGCTGCTTCCCCCGCTACTCCCACAAGCTCTAGGCTTGAAAGACTCTTTCAAGCGACATGGCCCGGGAAGTTCAAGTGGTGCTGGCGACAGCATGGCTGCTCACAATAATTCTGTCTACTGCTGTGACAACGTTCGTGACTGCTCCCCTCAACGAAAACCCTTCGTCCATCAACGACAATAACATGGTATGGCTATCAAAGCATGGATGTGATATAAACTCCTTCGTGACTTGATGTGTGCATATAACATCCATGCTTTGATTGCCATACCATATTATTGTCGTTGATGGACGAAAAATATTAGCTGAGGGGAGCAGTCACGAACGTTGTCACAGCAGCAGACAGAATCATTGTGAGCAGCCATTCTGTCGCCAGCACCACTTGAACCACCCGAGCCATGTCGCTTGAAAGAGTCTTTCAAGCCTTGAGCTTGTAGGAGTAGCGGGGAAACAGCGGAAGCGGGCAAAGCTGTATGTGTAGATGGCTGTACAGTAAGAAAGCGGGTAGACCTAATATGTTGTCATTCACGCCAGTCTTGGAAATCTGTTGAGCGAGGTTATTTTCTTTATTTGGTAAGGTTCCCAGAGGATTTCGAAGCTATTGTCCATGTATTGCTTAAAAGGGTCTTCAGAACAGAAGAAAAGCCTTCTGAAATGGGAAAACATTTTGTGTAGGTAACATCAAGAAGCTCGAATGGATTCTGAAGACCCTTTCAAGCAATACATGGACAACAACTTGGAGATCTGTAAAACCTTACCAAATAATGAAAAATATCCTCGCGCGACGAATTCCCAGAAAGTAAGTTCTGTCCCCTTCATCCATCCACACCATTTCTCATCCCTCTTGACACAATCCTCCCCATCCCCACACCCCTCTTTATCACTCCCCTTACCTCTGTACCCCTGTGACACCTCAGGAAGCCTTCACTATAGTCACACGGTCAGAATGGGACGAGCTGAGCAGTCAGTGGGGCAGCACATGTGCCTCTGCCATCCGCGCACGAGTCATATCAAATCTTATCTCCAACAACCACGCAGCTGATCCCAAATCTTCACAAAGTCAAAAAATCACTGTAGGGAAGAGCCGAGGAGACAATTCCGTTCCCACCCCATACTGCCTGGAGACCATCCCTCCTTTGTGTCACATCTGCTACAAGAACCCAGAGGAGACTGCAGAGGAGGAAGAGAGGGCAATGAGGGAAGAGTTACAGAGGGGGGATTACAGGGAGGAGGAGATAGTGGTAGAGCTGGTGAGAGGGTCTGAGCCTCCCCCCTCTGTTGTTGCTTCCACGTATGGTTTCCCGCCGTTAGCCGTGTCGCGCCGGTTTGCGGCTGCTGCTAGTGCTGCCGCTGCTGGTGCTGCTGGTGATGCTGCTGCTAATGCTGCTGCTGCTGCTGCTGGTGCTGCTGCTGGTGCTGCTGCTGGTGCTGCTGGTGCTGCTAATGCTGCTGCTGCTGGTGGTGCTGCTGCTGGTGGTGCTGCTGGTGGTGCTACTGGTGCTGCTGCTCGTGCTGGTGATGCTACTGGTGGTGGTAGTGCTGCTATTACTACAGCTGCTGGGGGCGCTACTTATGCCACTGACACTCCTGCTACTAATGGTGATGCTGCTGCTGCTCATGCTGCTACAACTGGTGTTCCTGGTACTGCTCCCTGTGCTGAAGCTGCCGTTGCTGCTGCCGCTTCAGGTGCTAGTGCTGTTACTTCTAGGCCACTGAAAGCAGGGATACCACTGGCCATGCCATACAAACGACCGCTGCGAACGGGGGGAAGCCGCGTGGCAATAAGGGTATCAGGCACAACCACGCTGGACCAGCTGAAGCTGCAGATCTGGGAGTCCCTGGGAGTGGTCCCTGAGAACCAGCGCATTGGATTCGGCACGGAGGAAGTTACTGATTTGGAGGAGCATGAGGGGCTGTCGCTAGTGCAAGCTGGAGTGTTTGCTGGTGCTCGGCTTTGGGTGGTGGATACTAAAGTGCACAAGGACAGGGACATTGCAGGTAAATGGGTGAATCCAAATACCCCTAAGGGCGAATGGTTTGGGTGCTGGTGGGTTGTTTATCAGCATGTCTCAGTCGTTTTCTCCTCTCTCTTATATCCCGTAACCTCTAGTTGCTCACCTGGTCAATCACCCCAAAACTTTGCTCATTTTTTTTTCTCCTTCCAGCGACCTCTCAGCACATCCGTCTCCCTTCCCCACTGCCACCTCTTACCCTCTCCTCGGCCTCATTATTTTTGAGTCGACTAATAGAACGTTGCTCACTTCTTTTCTCCTTCCCCCGATATCTCCTCAACACATCCGTCTCCCTTCCCCACTGCTCCCTCTTAACCTCTCCCCTGCCTTGTTACGTCAGAGGAGCTCCCAGTTGTGGATGATTCTCAAAAGGAGGAGGCAGGTTTTAAGGGCACAGGTCTGGCTGGTGGTTTCCCAGTAACTAGTTTTCCTGTAGCAGACACAGCAACAGTAGCAGCAGACACTGCAACGGTAGCAGCCGAGGTCATGAAGTCGGGTGTAGATGATGCTGCAGATGGTGCTGCAGATGGTACTGTAGTTTGACTCGTCTAGGATGCTGGGGTAAATTGCCTCAAGTGGCCAGGGTAGAAGTTATGGTGGACAGAATTATATTACGACCTATGAATGAAGATATATTTGGTGGTATGACGACTACCATATGTGTGTGCAGCGCAATGCACACTTGTTTCATCACGCCTACCTGCATTAGTGTGGCCAATGTTGAGAACAGAAATTTGGAGACTGATGGGAGGGGTAAACAGAGAGGGTTCTCGATTTTAACAACACTTTGGATATGTCAGTACGTTTTTTGCGTGTGGCCTTTCCCCTTTCAAGGGTTCCTTCCTACAGCAGCATATGTTTCTGCTTTAGACATCAAAATGCATAGTTCAGAAATAAAGCAGGGTAACCTAAATGTATAATACTGAGCGGTGTACCAACTTCTCAGAATCGAATCCAGAGTGTCGAGTTCAAATCTCAGATACCTAATTTCTGACACCTGAAATTCGTGACCAGATTGTCATTAGGCGACGCTTCGGCACAGCAGTAATAACCGCGCGACGTATCCATTACGTCATTCCAGTCGCCACCGATCCCGAGTTGCGATCGATCGCATTCGTCGACACCGCATCGATCAAGATCCGACGGTTGCCGATTAAATCGAGCTTGATCAGTTCCAAAGCTTTCCCTTTTGAACTTACCCCCATAATCACACCTGGCTGGTTAGAACTTAGCAGCGTCGGCACGATGGCGACAGCGGGGACGCAGATCATCGAGTCCGGTCACGCCGACGCGATTCACGACGTGCAGATGGACTACTACGGCAAGCGACTGGCGACGGCGTCGTCCGATCGCTCGATTCGCGTATTTTCCGTCGCAGGCGACCACCACTCGCATCTCGCGGATCTGATTGGTAAGTTTTCAAAAGCGCCACCTGCATAGCCGGATCGGATTCGTCGCTTTTCCGCCGGCGTGCATTTACGTCTTATCTTTCACATTTAACTTAACTCCTCACGCATATTTACTGTCGTCGCCTTGACCACCTTACGCTTCCTCACGAAATCGCGTCTTTCTTTTATTGCGTTCTAGGAACTGCTGAACAATAGATTATTTCGTTAGTGGCGTTCGACACCATGTTTGCTCCGGAACCATGTTCGACTTTGGCGTCCCCGTCTCCCCGCAGGTCACGAGGGTCCGGTTTGGCAAGTGGCCTTGGCCCACCTTAAATTCGGGTCCATTTTCGAGGCGCCTTGAAAGGAATCATGTTTTATTTTTGCGTCCCCATTGATTTCGTCTCCCTGCAGGTCACGAGGGTCCGGTCTGGCAAGTGGCATGGGCTCACCCCAAATTCGGGTCCATCCTCGCATCCTGCTCGTACGACCGCAAAGTGATCATCTGGAAAGAAACCAGCGAGAACCAGTGGATCAAGGTGCGTTGGTGGATTCAGGTATGACTCTATGGGTGGAGAGTATTGGGTGTGGGGTAGGGCATGGGCCGCAAAGTGTTCATCTGGAAAGAAACCAGCGAGAGCCAGTGGATCAAGGTGCGTTGGTGGATGGAGGAGTGTGAGTGGATGAAGGTCCATCTGTGGATTATGTGCGACCCGGTGGGTGGAGATCAGTGTCTGTGGGAGAATCGATTTTTTAGTCGACTCAAAAGTTTCTGTGGGAGGGAACACGAAATACGCTGTGGAGGGTGGATGAGGATGAGGATGAGGATGAGGATGAGGATGAGGGTGTCAATCCAGTGACAATACACCCTTACGCACCGAATAATGATTAACTCTTGCAGAGCAATTCAGGAATCAATGGGGAACATGTGACCCACTAATGAGAGATCCCATTATCCTTGAGTCAAGTGCATTTTGGCAATTTCTAAAATGCACTTCACAGAGCAATCCAGAAACCAGTAGGGTAACATGATACCCATTATTGAGCGATACACTAATCAGTGAATCCTGCGCAGCAAGTACGGATGTTTGGGATGTTGTTGGGGTGGTTCATCTGGAATGCTTCTCTTCCTCCCTCAAAAGGGATGCGTCCCTTTTGTTAACGCCGTTCTCCTCTCTCCTCGTTCTCCCATGTTCCGCCATCCCCATCCCACCATTGCCATCTCAGGTGCGAGGCTTCTCAGGGCACAGTAGTCAGTTAACAACACGAGCGCTGATTTTCCCACCCCTCACTCCCTTGCGGCTTCTCATTCTCATTTCCTCCCTTTGATAGTTGTGCATCTCAGGCACCACAGGTATTGTCAGACCACACGGCCTAGTCAACAGCATGTGCCGGGCGCCTCACTCGTTTTTGGTTCTCTCAACTTCCCCTTCCACATCCGTGTGGTTCTTTCTCACCCTCTCCCCACACCAGGCGCCGGTATTCGCAGACCATGAGGGGTTGGTCAACAGCATCAGCTGGGCGTGTGACCCCCAATCTGCTGTCACATTTTCCCTCCACTCTCCCCCCCCTCTCTCACCCCACGTCAGGCGCGGGAATTTGCGGACCATGAGGGGTCGGTGAACAGCATCAGCTGGGCGCCGCACGAGTATGGGCTGGTGCTCGCATGCGCCTCCTCTGATGGCTCCATCTCCATCCTCACCCACCGTGCCGACGGGGGCTGGGACGGCTCCCGCATTTCATCCTTAAACCCTCTTCGTCCCACTTCCTTAGCGTTTTCCCCTGCTCTCTTTCCCACCCCTCCTTGCTTTCCTGTTTTGGGTCTCTGTCTCACGCTTTCCCCACTCCAGGCTCAGGTGTTTTCAGACCATGAAGGCTCAGTGAACAGCATCAGCTGGGCGCCTCACGAGTACGGGCTGGTGCTCGCATGCGCCTCCTCTGATGGCTCCATCTCCATCCTCACCCACCGCGCCGACGGCGGCTGGGATGCCTCCCGGATCCCCCAAGCTCACCCTGTGGGGGTTACTTCTGTTTCCTGGGCTCCTGCCACGGTTCCAGGAAGTTTCCTGGGGTCGGGTCCGAATCCGGTGCTGCGGTTTGTGTCGGGAGGGTGTGATAATATGGTGAAGATTTGGCGGTATTTGAGTGAGGGAGGGGGAGGGTGGCGGCTGGACGGTGCGCCGCCTGGTTTGGCCCGGCACACGGATTGGGTTCGGGATGTGGCTTGGGCGCCAAACCTGGGCCTGCCTAAGAGTACAATCGCCAGTGCTTCACAGGTGGGTCTGAATTGGGGAAACGAATTAGGGTCGTGCTGATTACTGCCTTGGAGCTGTTTCGTCAGTGTATGTTTCAATGCTACCTTTCCTCTCATTTCAGGTACTTGTGCGTTGGCTGACCTGGCTTTATTTTATGTATTTACCTCCTTATATCCCTGATATCTACAGGATGGCACTGTATTGATCTGGACCCAGACGAGCGAGTCAGACCCGTGGAAACCCCTGCTGATGCAGGACTTCAAGGTGCCTGTGTGGAGGGTCAGCTGGTCGCTCACTGGAAACATTCTTGCTGTGTCGGATGCAAATAACAATGTGTCGCTCTGGAAGGAGGCTGCAGATGGGCAATGGTCCCAAGTCTCCACTATCCAACAACCATAGATAGGTTAGTCATATGGGTATGCCACTAGTTTTAGTACCGTATCAAATGCTGAGTTGATGAAAGTCATATGGGATAACAACAACATTACATTGAAGGTGGAAGCGATCGCATTGTTGCAGCATATTGCATTGACAGATTGGCCTTCTAGGAGTTAACTTCAGCTGATTGAGCCACATTTGCTTATGTCAGTCACCCTCACTGTCTCTGCCTCCTATGCCTATAATCAGTATGTAGAATATATATATAACATATGTGAATCTGTGTCAATTTCTTGGGTCTGAAAAGGGTGTAGAGAACTTTCCACTTACATTTGACAAAAGACTCACTCCAGCTTTGGTTTTGATTGAACATGGGAGGGCGAGTGACGTGGAACAAAATCCAATCCAAACCGAAGCCTCCACTGTCCAGTCGCAAACTTGTCTTTTTCGCGTGAGCTGGGCGGTCCCGCCAACAGAGGCCCCACCTGAAGAATGCACAGAAGGGCAAAAGACCATTTGTTCGTTCCGTTTTGACAAAGCTGCTGGCAGGAACTGTTCAGGTGTTTCCTCCTCAACATACGGACGCAAATTCGATATAAGCTTGAGAAAAGACAGATGTAGTTCCCGTCTGTGACCCAGCTCTACGTCCCTCGTTTCCCCCTCCCTCCCACCTCAGCGGAAACGTTCTTTTGTTCCCCCTGACCCATATCCTGACAACACCACAAACAGCGGGCAGCGGGCAGCTTGAAGCGGTCCTCTAGAGAAAAACGGAGCAGTTTCAATTGAACAACATCACCTGAACGTTTCCGAGTCGAACCCAACCCAACCCTCGTCAACCCGCCAGGGACCAATTTGCCACCCTTCACTTCCACCTCGAACCAAGACCCTCCCTCCTCTCAAGCGAGGGGTGTCCTCTCCTCTCCGTCTCGCCCATCCTCCCTCTTGGCACCTGTGATTTGGTTCTCGTGTCGTGTGTTTTGGTTGGCTTCTCTCCACTGACTAGTTTCCTGGCTGAATGAGTTGGTGCTTCCTAGAGCATTTCTGCCTAACCCGCAAGAGCGCAATAGTTCTTTCTGTGCACTACGACAGGGGCGCAAGGAGGTTTCATAGAACATCCTGATAGGTACCAGTGTTCTTCTAAGACGTAGTGGGCTGAAGTAGCTAGCAGGCACCCGTCTTAAGGCTAGGTGCAAACCGCTCGGGAGTTGTCTTTCTTTTGGTTTTTCTGTCATGATGTTCGACAATGGGGAATCCTTGTGGTCGTTCATTACAATCATAGTGTGTATAGCGTTCACTGTGCTCGCGTTCCTCTGGATGCACTTCTGCTACTTCCCGGGCGGCTACAAACGGAGCGAGGTCATGGACATGGGCGAGTACGCAATGATAGTCGCCGCCCAACGGCTAAACAAGCTCGAGGATAAATCCAAGGAGGAATATCCAGAAGACGCGGACGAGTTGTACTACGAGCGGAATCCCGAGGATGGCGGCGAGAATCACGGCGAGGAAGGCGGAGACTGGCAGAGCCAGGCGGACCCTGATGTCGAGCAGCCTGGGGAATATTACGAGGAGGAGGAGACGCCGCGATACGACGTAAGCTTACGGACACGGGAACAATCAGACATTGCTTTACGCGATTCGAGCAGTTAGCTGTAGATGCGTCGGTCAGGACCGGTCCGGGAAACCCGGACTTCAGCGTGGCGCAATATTTAGGTTGAGCTGATGAGCTGGGGAAATCCTTCGTCGCATTGCGTGTCGTTGTTCCAGCTTAACTTTGCACGCATGATCTTCAGTCGAGTCGAATCGTGGCAGGGAGTCAGGCCTAGCTGAGTCGAGGGTTTCGAGGCGACAACACCAGGGACCCTCGTGTGTTAAGGATAAGCTGGTCCGTGTCGGTTGTTCTTTTAGTAGCAAAGCGTGAGTCAAGCGTGTTTTCTGAGGTCGCGTGTTTTCTAGGTTGCTTAGAGTGCGTTTTCTCTCTCTTTCCGCGTCTTCCACTCTTGTCCTAATCCTCCTGCTCTTTTGTTTCGCTTGTCTCACCTTCTCTTTATTCTCTCCCTCTCTTCTCACATCGCCTCCTTTTCGCAGCCATCCGTAACCACCCCCTCATCGCAACCATCAGCCGGGGATCGCGACACCGCCAGCTACAGGGACGACCGCAGCGAATCAACATACACCGCCTCGACACCGCACTCCTCCGGCTACTATTATTGAGCTGCCCACCCAGCTGTTTTCGTGCTGCCCGGCCCAGGCTCCACTTTCGCCTGACTCGTCGCTACCATAGCGACAAAGTTGTGCCGCCTTCGTTAGCTCACAGGCACATATTCAGGCTTGATCGGGGCTTCGTAACTGCAAGGAAACTGTCCTCCCTGTAATGAGTTTCGAGGCTCGACAAGGCACCGCAGCACCGCTTGAATCCGGAGTAAGAGTTCCGTGCTTGGTATCCCTTGGACTAGCAGTTTTTCTCCCTGTTGTATAATGAGACAACTCTTTCTTTCATTCGTTTTGTTTTGCAATCAAATGGGGTAAGCCTTCACTTAAATGGAGGCTGTATAGTACACCAACGGAAACTATAATTGAGATCTACTGCTGTGAATGATGCATCTTACTGCACACCAATTGAAAGAAAATCAGTGAATGGGGGTTGGATTGAGTAAACTTATTGTTGGCACCCTAAACATTCATATTGTGTTGAACTGGCTTCTTGCTGCCACCCTACGTTCATGAGTACAAGACCTGTACCAAAATGGACGGGCTTCCATAATCCTCTCTCAAACACCCTATTGCATATGCGATACGATCCGTAGTTATTCATGGTACACAATAATCAACCTCACAACTTAGTCTTCCAGACTTTCCAGCATCCTCCTAGGGTGCACTGACCACCTCCCTCTCCTCTACAGCCAACACTTTCAACAACAGACTAGCTTTCACCATAGCAGGGCCCAGTTCGCCCTCCACCAGTTCCACCTCCCCCTCACTCATCCCCTTCCCCGCCTCATCCACAGCAGCCCTGAACGCCTTCATAGGGTCCCCTACAATCTCAGGATACTCCTGAAAGAAGCTTACAGCCTTGGCTGCACGCAAGGAGGGCAGGCACTCCACTGCCTTAGCTCCGATGCGCATGCCGTTGGTTAGGTGCGTGACCAGTAGAGTGAACGTGTGGGAGAAGAGCCGGAGGCGAGCAGCGTCAGCAGGGGAAATGGCCGCTGAGGCAGCACCACCGCTGGTTGAGGCTGATGCTTTCTGGCCCAGTTGCTCGATCATTCGCACGTAGGCTATGGTCTCCGTGGTGGCAGATCCAGGTACTACTGTTTCTCCTGCAGTTGCCTCCCTTCCTGCTCCTGCTGCTTCTGCTCTTGCCGCTTCTGATCCTGCTGCTGTTTTGCCCGTGGTGGCACCCACATTAGAAAGAGCTGCGATATCGCTCCTTAAAGCCTCGCTTCGCGACAGCCCCATTGCTGGACCCACCAGGCTTAAAACCCTCGTGGCTCCTGACATATCATTCCCACCATTGCCGCCAGAATCCCCGCCGGTTTTCCCGTCAAGGGCTTGTAGCACAGACCTATCAAGAGCCTCGTGCACGTGCATCTGATCAACTAGGTATTGCCCGAACCTCTTCGCTCCGAACCTCCACCGATCGAACGACGGCAGCGGCGGCTCGCCTTTTGCCCGCGCAACAGAGAGCTTCCCCTGCGACTCGAGAACCTGCAGGTGCCTCACCAGGCGCTCGTACAGGCCTACCTGCGGCGCGGGTGCATCTCCTTCAGCCAGTTGCTGCCGAGGCTGCTGGTCAGCTTCGGCCCGAGCCTCGTAGCCTTGAGAAGTGGTGCCGGGAGTGAAGCTTTTCACCTTGAGATTGCCGATTTCGTCCGGACCTAATTCCGATGCTGCCGAACCTGCGGCCTCCCAACCTTCCACCCGGACGAAGTCTACGCGGCCTTTTGCTGCTGCGCGCTGGTCGACCAGGGGATGGCCGCGTGTCGGCGCTTCGTTGGAGGAGGACTTCTCCTCCAATTTCTGCACGAGACGCGTGATCTTCGGATCTTCTGGCACGACGGCGGACGGTCCTGATGATTTCGACCCATTTTCACGCGGTTTCTTGGTCCCCCCAGAAGTCTTGCTACCCTTGCTACCCTTCGACGGGCCAGACCCAAATCCCTTACCGGATCCACCTGCTGCTGCGTTAATCCTTACGGAACGACTTCTGCTGATCGGAAACGCGGTTCTGCTCGAGCCTGAACAGTGGTAGATAAATTTGCCCTCCGGACGAGAAAGCTGGTGCGAAAGGGGGATATTGACGAGTAATGACGCCATGGTGCGTAATGATAAGACACGGATCGGGTGGCGACACGACAAGGAGGCGCCTTAATTGTAAGTCAGTCCGTGTAGACTATTTTGAACGTGCCAGTTAGAAGTTGCCCAAGTGGGAGTGTGTTCCCCAAAGCGCCATGCTTTCCTTGCTCTTTGCGCGAAAACGAGGACGTGGAAATGTTACCAGCGTTTCGTTCGCACTGCAGCACAGAATCGGACGGCAGGAACCTGTCGTCGCGGAAACGAAATAAACAACTGGACGGAGATGGAAGGACCTGGGGATTTGGGCCCTGAACCTGGTCAATCCCCGAGTGTAGCCAGGGGAGTGCATCTACATAGTACACTCCCGTAACAAATAGCAGTTTGAGGTTACTGTTTATACTCAGACTGATTAAAAAATCACAACTTGAATAAAGGTTATGCATTGAGATTGCAGTGCAGACATGGATCACCCCATCATGGAACCAAAAAGGGAGGCATGAAGAATTTGGCTGTCATGGCTGATGGACGCGGTCTTCCAAAGGTGAAGGAACTACACATGGCACGCAACATGGCACGCAACTGATCAGTACATGCAGGATATGCATATACAAGATGGTACAAGATGATACAAGATGATATGCATAAAAGCATGGCGATATATAAGAGAGGATGGGAGAGAGAGGGGGGGGGGGGATAGCTATAGAAGTTGCTCAGACTCTTAATGTGGAGAAGGAGGGGGAGGGGAAAACCAAAAAAAAATTACAGTATCAGTAGAAATCACGGATGCATATGAGAAGGCATAGATACACTCGGGGAAGAGATCGTACCTCTGCAAGGCGGGAATGGCTAAGGTACAGCGGCCGACCACGCCGCATGAAGGCATCATCCTGTAACCACCAAATACACCACAAATGACGAGGAATGCATAATAGGAGATATGAGCAACGCCGCAATGAGTGTAAGGATTGAGCGGACAATAAATGATACGCGACAAATTCAATGGGATACAAATGTGCCGCAACAATCTCAAGCAAGAGCAAGAACAAACAAACAAACAAAAGATGAATAAAGATATCAACTTGATGGGAGCTGAGAAAGACAGGCAAGTCACAATACAATGTGTGTGAAGTAGTTTCTGGATTGCGAGACAAAAAATAAAATAAAAGGAAAGAAAAGAACTGAAACAAGGAGATGCACCTCTCAGCTGTCTGCTTTGCTCACCTCGCCGTGAGAGTAGAGATAGATGGAGACGCCGGCGCATATGTGCACACCACGTATCAACACCGGCAGCAATATTCTCTGAGTAAGCCAGCTCAGGAATCCGCTCACCTCTCCATGAGAGTCATGATAGATGTAGAGACCGGCGCATATGTGCACACCATGTATCAACACCAGCTGTGTTGATCACATCGCCAGACAACCTTTAGTCGATTCAGCAGTGCTTTTGCTGCTCACCTCTCCATGTGAGTCGAGATAGATGGAGAGACCGGCACATATGTGCACGCCGTGTATCAACACCAACTGCGTTGATTGCATCACCAGGAACAGGCCTGTGCCCCCATTCTCTGCAAGGAGGGTGGATGGTAAACAGAGGAAAAAAAAAAAAAAAAAAAACTGTTTTACACCCATTCACTTATCAGAACCAAACGAGCACATTAGATTGTCCAACTGGGAAGAAGCAAGAGGATGTTTGCACTGTAGCACGCACGTACAATCCGTACAATTCGATACATAGTAAAACATAACATCCAAGGTTTCTTCGAGTCAACTCACAAGACTTTGCGACAAAGGAAAAGGATAAGTGTGGTGCACCAGCAACTTTTGAGACGTCTCAAAAGCCGTGTAGTGCCCCAGCATGCATTGCATGTAATGCAGAGGAGCTCGACTGTACCACACACCTACGATTGCATCTGTAGCAAGACAAGTCATCTGTAGACGAGCATGCCTGTAGCACTCCCCACAACCATCTAGATGGCAGCAGGAGGAGTTGTAGCAGAGAAGCTCGTCTGTAGCACCTACCCACAATCACATCTCTAGCAAGAGAAACCGCTCACCTCTCAGTGCATGTCTGTAGCACTCCCCACGGCCGTCTGGGCGGCAGCAGGAGGAGTTGTAACAGAGCAATTCGCCACAGCACAGGCAGACAGCGGGGTTGGGGGGTTTCTGGCCACAGTTCCTGCATGCCTTGTTCATCGTGGATAGCAGCAGGTCCTGGGAGGGAGGGGAGTGGATGATGGGCCGGGGAGTGGGAGCACATGCTGAAAGCACAGCTGGGTTGGGGGTTTTCTGGGCACAGTTCCTGCACGCCTTTTTCATTGTGGACAGCAGCAGGTCCTGGGAGGGAGGGAGGGGAGGAGAGGAGGGTTCAGCACAGGCAGACAACGGGGTTGGGGGGTTCCTTGCCGCAGTTCCTGCATGCCTTGTTCATCGTGGAGAGTAGCAGGTCCTAGGAGGGAGGGGTAGTGGATGTGGGGCGGGGGAGGGGGGGGGTACATGCACAATACAGAGCTGAGCAGCAGCAGCACAGGCAGAGAGCGGGGTTGGGGGCTCCTTGCCGCAGTTCCTGCATGCCTTGTTCATTGTGGAGAGTAGCAGGTCCTGAGAGGGAGGGGAAGCGGATGATGGGCAAGGGAGTGGGAGCACATGCTGAAAGCACAGCGGGGTTGGGGGGTTCCTTTCTGCAGTTCCTGCATGCCTTGTTCATCGTGGATAGCAGCACGTCCTGGGAGGGAGGGGGAGTGGAGGGGGGCGGGAGCAGCACCGAGAGTTGGAGTTGTAGCAAAGCAGCTCGCCGCAGCACAGGCAGACAGCAGGGTTGGGGGGCTCCAAGTTCCAACCCGCAGTTCCTGCATGCCTTGCTCATCACAAGGATAGCAGCAGGTCCTGGGAGAGAGAGGAGTCATCACTGATCCCAGGACTATCCCTTGTGATAGTCCTGGGATCAGTGCTTGTGGAAGATACCATGAAGACCTGAGTCAAGACCACATCAAGACCATGAAGCGAAAAGCGAGGTGACTTTTGAGTCGACTCAAGACCACATTAAGACCATAATGCGAAAAGCACCAGCGAAACGTCTCCCGCCTTTAGAATAATACCTGTAAATAAGTACCTGCTTCAAATGCCTCACAACAAGACCTTCAATTGGAATGTACCTGGTAAATCTCCGGACATTCTTCCAGTGAGCTGCTCGCTGGAACATGTCTAAGAGATTGGAAAGTACCGTGTTTTAAGTCGATTCAAAACACGACGCTGGAACATGTCAAACAGATTGGAAAGTACCTGGTAAATCTCCGGCAATGGGTGGAAGGTTGGTAAGTCGAGTTTTAAGTCGACTCAAAACTCGACTTATCACGCCTGTTTCAATGCCTCACAACAAGATCTTGGATTGATAAGTACCTGGTAAATCTCCGGCAATGGGTGGAATGTTGGCTGCGTGGGTGCTAGTTTTGAGTCGACTCAAAACTAAAAAGTACCTGCTTCAATGCCTCACAACAAGACCTTCGACTGGAAAGTACCTGGTAGATCTCCGGCAATGGGTGGAAGGATGGCTGGGTGGGCGCTAGTTTTGAGTCGACTCAAAACTAAAAAGTACATGTTTCAATGCCTCGCAACAAGACCTTGGATTGAAAAGCACCTGGTAAATCTCCGGCAATGGGTGGAGGTCCTTTGAGGCGCCTCAAAAGTCACAGCAAGACCTTGGATCGGAAAGTACCTGGTAAATCTCCGGCAATGGGTGGAAGGATGGCTGGGTGGGCGCTCTGACCAGCCGGGGTGGGTCCTGCATGTGTGAGGATATGAGGGATGTTAGCATGCATGGAGACATGCACGTTGCACAGTGTATACTGAGACATGCATGCAACATGCAGGATGCATGCGTGTATAGAGACATGCATGCATATATGCATGCATCATGGAGGTAGATGTGAAGAGGTGACTTTCGAGTCAACTCAAAAGTCAAACATGCATCATGGGGGTAGATGTGAAGTGCACATCACTCTTTTTTAACATTGTGAAGATGGAAGGGGAGAAGCAGGTCAAGGAGGAATATCAGGTGCTGGGTGGTGAACGTTATAGGAGCCTGGTGATCGAAACGATAAAAAGAGAGCATTCACATCTGATAATGAAGAGTATGTCTACGAGAGGAGAAGGTCAGCTATGGAGAATCCAGTATCTGCGAGCAGAGAGGAAGGAGGTGTACGAAGTGACGTTGTAGGTGACTTTTGAGGCGCCTCAAAAGTCCAGCATCTGTGAGCAGAGGAGGGAGTACAAAGTGACGGAGTAGGTGAGGACAAAGCAGTTGATGCGGTGGCGATACGTGGGCGGATGGCGGAGGAGGTATTGTCACAGATACTCGAGTCACAATACATTCTCCGGCATATGTGACTTGAGTACCTGTGACAATACCTCCTCCGCCAGCCGACCACCTATCGCCACAACATAAACAGCTTCGTCCTCATCAACCTCATCACTTCGCACTTTTCCTTCTCCTCTGCTCGCAGATACTGGATTTCCACAGCTGGTCTTCTCCTCTTGTAGGCATGCCCTTCATAATCAAACATGAATGTTCTCTTCTTGCCATTCGATCGCCACGTTCTATTAATGCGGAACCAATCAGCACCTCATATTCCTCATTCACCTGCCTCTCCCATTCCATCTTCACGATGTCAAAAGGGTGAGCATGCGTGCGTATAAACATACATCATGGTTTTGAGACGTCTCAAAACATTACTTCTATCACGTCAGCATGCTTGCGTATAAACATACATCATGGTTTTGAGACGTCTCAAAACATTACTTCTATCACGTCAGCATGCGTGCATATAAACATACATCACGGTTTTGAGACGTCTCAAAACATTACTTCTATCACGTCAGCATGCGTGTGTATAAACATACATCGTGGTTTTGAGACGTCTCAAAACATTACTTCTATCACGTCAGCATGCATGCGTATAAACATACATCATAGGTGTGGCATGGGGTGGCTGTGTATGCAAAGCAAGCACTCACCGACGGGAGGTTCCATGATGCAAACAGGCAGTGGCAGGGGTGGGGCGTACAACGTATGCTTGCTGGTGGTGTGGCACGGGGTAGATGTGTTTGTAACGTATTATGTAAGCACTCACCGATGGTAAGTTCCACGATGCAAACATGCGGCTGAGGTGCCACGGCTGGCAGGATGATGCTGCAGAGACACGAGGAGAAAGGGGGATGGGGCCCGGGCGAGTGGGAGAATGGGAAGATTAGGACGGGCGACGGGAGGTTTAGTTTTGAGACGTCTCAAAACTAAAATGGGAAGATTAGGACGGGCGACGGGAGGTTCCATGATGCAAAAACGCGGCCGAGGTGTCACGGGGAGTTGGTGAAGCGTAAAGGTAGGGTGAAGGTTGAAGGGCGATGGGTAAAGGTGAAAGGCGACTCACCTCACCTTCACTGTCAACAAGGGCCATGCAGCGAAGCACAGAGGTGATGGGTGCAGGGTGAAGGTTGAAAGGTGAAGGTTGAAGTGTTAAGGGTGAAGGTTGAAGTGTAAAGGGTGAAGGTTGAAGTGTAAAGGTTGAAGGTTGAAGTGTAAAGGTTGAAGGTTGAAGTGTAAAGGGTTAAGGTTGAAGTGTAAAGGGTGAAGGTTGAAGTGTAAAGGATGAAGGTTGAAGTGTAAAGGGTGAAGGTTGAAGTGTAAAGGTTGAAGGTTGAAGTGTAAAGGGTGAAGGTTGAAGTGTAAAGGGTGAAGGTTGAAGTGTTAAGGGTGAAGGTTGAAGTGTAAAGGGTGAAGGTTGAAGTGTAAAGGGTGAAGGTTGAAGTGTAAAGGGTGAAGGTTGAAGTGTAAAGGTTGAAGGCTGAAGTGTAAAGGGTGAAGGTTGAAGTGTCAAGGGTGAAGGTTGAAGGGTAAAGGGTGAAGGTTGAAGTGTAAAGGTTGAAGGTTGAAGTGTAAAGGGTGAAGGTTGAAGTGTAAAGGTTGAAGGGTGAAAAGGAAAGTCACAGCCACAAGAATGACTAGCACCATGGCACGGACTCACCTTCACTGTTGGCAGAGGCCATTAGGCGAAGCACAGAGGGTGACGGGTGACGGGTGAAGGTTGACAGGTAACGAAATTGAAGGGTGAATGGAAAGTCAAAGAATGAATGACGCCATGGCACAGACTGACCTTCACTGTTGGCAGAGGCCATTAGGCGAAGCACAGAGGTCACGGAGGGAAGGGCGAGGGAGCGGCGCAGCCAATCAGCGAGCAGCAATTGCGGGCCTGCGGGGGCAGAGCAAGCGACGAGGAAGGTAGAGGGGGGGTAAGGCGAGCAAGGTGCGTGGTGAGCTTTGATTGATGAGATGTCTCAAAACTTGTGGGTCTGCGGATCGACAGTGGAGGTTAGGTAGGGTACAGGGTAGAGAGTGAGCAATGAGTTTTTTAACTAAAAAAAGGGGTAGAGAGGGAGCACTGGGCAATATGGGGTGCGGGTTTAGATAACTGGAACCTGAGATGAGCAGATGGGAGGAGGAGGAGAGTCGGGTTGCTGGTACAGCAAGAACAAGATGGGGAGGCGCCTCAGAAGCGTGCTTCAAGACACCCCATAGAATATCCCACCCCTTACTTGGATTCTTCATTTCTTTCATTTCACAAGGTGACCTTTGGAGAGTTTAGGAATCGTTTTTTTTTTGTTTTTCCCGATTTTTTTAGACGTGGTTTGAGACAAGTGGCGGGACTTACTCAGATTCTGAATTGCTTTGACGCGGTGATCCACAAGTGGGGGCTCTCTGAGTGGCATTATGCCAAGGTAGTGAATCTGGTTATAAGGAGTATGGGGATTCGAGGGAGGGAGAAAAGGGGGTAAATGGAGGGGAGGGGAGGGAGCAAGTAGAAAGGGAAGGAAGCAGTTGTGAAAGATGGGCAGGTTACCGAGTGCATCTATGAGGCAAATTGACAGGTCACAGGCCTAGAATGGAGAGGGGAGGGAGCGAGTAGAGTGGCGAGGAAGACAACAGTTGATGATTTGATAGGACTGAAATGGAGACAACAGTTGATGATAACAACTGAAAAGTAAGCACAAGAAGTAGTCGGGATTAACAACTGAAGTAGTCGGGATTAACAACTGAAGTAGTCGGGATTAACAACTGAAGTAGTCGGGATTAACAACTGAAGTAGTCGGGATTAACAACTGAAGTAGTCGGGATTAACAACTGAAGTAGTCGGGATTAACAACTGAAGTAGTCGGGATTAACAACTGAAGTAGTCGGGATTAACAACTGAAGTAGTCGGGATTAACAACTGAAGTAGTCGGGATTAACAACTGAAGTAGTCGGGATTAACAACTGAAGTAGTCGGGATTAACAACTGAAGTAGTCGGGATTAACAACTGAAGTAGTCGGGATTAACAACTGAAGTAGTCGGGATTAACAACTGAAGTAGTCGGGATTAACAACTGAAGTAGTCGGGATTAACAACTGAAGTAGTCGGGATTAACAACTGAAGTAGTCGGGATTAACAACTGAAGTAGTCGGGATTAACAACTGAAGTAGTCGGGATTAACAACTGAAGTAGTCGGGATTAACAACTGAAGTAGTCGGGATTAACAACTGAAGTAGTCGGGATTAACAACTGAAGTAGTCGGGATTAACAACTGAAGTAGTCGGGATTAACAACTGAAGTAGTCGGGATTAACGTGGGGCGATATCCCAAAAGCCTGTTCAACAAAGGCCAAGTAACAAGGATATCAGAAAAGTTTAGGGATATCTTAAAACTTAAAGGCCAAGTAACAAGGATATCAGAAAGGTTTAGGGATATCTTAAAACTTAAAGGCCAAGAAGAACAGGGATATCAGTTTGCTTTTGAGACGTCTCCACTCTCAAAGGCCAAGTAGCCAGGATATCAGAAAAACAGCACACACATACCAGAATGTAGGCTCGGCGGAGGTATGGTAAGCAACAGGCCAGGACACCCCACTCAGCCCACTCCTCGCCCGCAGGTTCGGAAGCAGCAGTGGCAGCAGCGGCGGCGGCAGCAGCGGCAGAGATAGGGTTGGGTCGAGGAAACATCCCCAGGAAAGGGACAGAGGCACGGGAGGAGGAGGAGGCACGGGAGGAGGGGTTGGAGGCGGAGAGAGAGGAGGGGCGGAGGGCGGCGAGGGATTGTGTGACGGCCACACAGAAAGAGACAAGGAGGATGGCTTGTGTCATGGCAGCAGAGGGGCGGGGCTGCTTGGACTGTTGTGGAATGGTTGGGTAAGGAGTGTGGTGGGAAACAAGAGAAGAGGTGAGATGAGATGAGTGCAGCAGCAAAACTATTTAGGAAATGTGACAAACACTACAGTAAACTATAATAAGCGACCCTTAATAAGCGACCTTTACGACCCTTAATCTGCATAAACTTCCCAGAAGCAGACCCGTTTACCTGAATGAGCGAGAGCAGAACAGCAAAGGGATCAGCAGCAACAACCGGCCGAGACAGCAACCCCAACAGCACACTCCAGCTAGAATCCGTACCCATATCCACCCGATCCCTTATGAGAATTCTCACAAGCAAACCAGCCTAGCAGACCCGTTTACCTGAATGAGCGAGAGCAGAACAGCAAAGGGATCAGCAGCAACAACCGGCCGAGACAGCAACCCCAGCAGCACACTCCAGCTAGAATCCGTGCCCATGTCCACCCGATCCTCATCCTCCTCCTCCTCCTCTTCCTCCTCATCCTCCGCACCAAACTCTTCTTCTAGCTCTCGTAACTCTGCCACCATCTCTGCAGGTGTGATTCCCTCCGCCATGAGTGCTTGAAACAGCTCCGGGGGAATCTCTAGCCCACCTGGTCCTCTAGGCACCTGTGCCCCTCTTGCACCTCTTGCCCCCCTTGCTCCCCGTGCTGCCCTGCCGCCTCTCCTTGCTCCTCCTTGTCTGGTCAACGCTACTCCTAATCCTCTTGCTCCTCCCCCGCCGGCTGCTCTTGCTCTGCTTAACCTTGCTGCTGCTCTTGCGGTTGCTGCTGCTGCCAATCTTACTGTAACACCACCCCTTGTTGCTGCTGCGTCTGCTGGTGCTGCGACTGTGGTGGTTGGTGCTTGCCCTGTCCTTCCGTCCTGTACCTGTGTCTCTCCAACAGCAGCAGCAGCAGCAGCAGCAGCAGCAGCAGCAGCAGTGGCAGCAGGAAGAGGAACAGTTTCAGCAGCAGCAGCTGCTGCAGCAGCCACAGGAGTAGCAGCTTCAGCAGTAGCTGCAGTAACAGCTGGAGGAGCTGGTGTGGGGGCTGCAACAGAGGCATCAACCAACACAAACCCTTCCGATGCATCACCAGTACCAGAACCAGCACCAGAAACTGTAGCAGTAGTAGCAGTAGCAGCCCCCCTCTCCTCATTCTCTGCCTCTCCCCCTTCTTCTGCCTCTTCCCATTCCTCCTCGCTCTCCTCTTCGTCCTCCTCCTCCCCACCTTCAGCCCCTCCCACATCACTCTCCTCCACTTCTTCCCACTCATCCTCCTCCTCATCCTCGTCCTCCTCCTCCTCACTCTCATCATTCCCATTACCACCCCCAAAACCATGCATTGGAAACATCATCCGTCCTCCCCTCCTCCCCCCTCCCCTTCCTTCCCCTCCCCCTCCTCCTCCTCCTCCTCCTCGTCCCCCTCTCTTTCCTCCTCGCCCCCCACCCCCCACCTCCTCCCCAGCCCCCCCCATCCCACCGAATCGAACCATAGCCTCTTGAATACTCACAGGCATGGCCTGCAGAGTAGACACCTCTCCCAGCTTATGTTCTCCACTGCCAATTGGACCTGTGCCCTCTTGCACCCCCTCCCACTCAAACCCATCACTTCCCTCCTCCCCTTCTTCACACCCCGCCTTCTCTCCCTCCCGCTCCTCCCCTTCAACTCCCGTCTCTTCATCCTCGTCTTTCTTACCTCCATACCCTTCTTTCCCCTCTTTCGCCTCATTCCCCTCTTTCTCCTCATTCCCCTCTTTCGCCTCATTCCCCTCTTTCTCCTCATTCCCCTCTTTCGCCTCATTCCCCTCTTTCTCCCCGTTCCCCTTCCTGTGTTGTCCCTTGCTCCTGCTGCCCCCCCCCCCACGTCCTCCTCTCCCCGCTCTCCTGCTGCTACCTGCCTTGTCCTTCTCGTCCTCCTCCTCCTCTGGTTCAAGATGCAACCACTTGAACAGACTCGTGCAATGGTGATCCACCACCGGGGCTGACAATGACGGAAGGACAGGGAGGGGGAGGACGTGTTTTGAGTCGATTCAAGATGCAACCACTTGAACAGACTCGTGCAATGGTGATCCACCACCGGGGCTGACAATGACGGAAGGACAGGGGAGGGGGAGGACGTGTTTTGAGTCGATTCAAGATGCAACCACTTGTCGTGCAATTCTCACCTAAAGATGGAGTGCACGCACACACCCCTGTCCACAGACAGACACCCACCTGCAGCCATGATGGTGTTGGTGAGCAGCGCCAGGTGTGCCAGCCCATCCAGAGCCATCTCATGCCCCTTGTCCGACCCCTCTCCCACACATGGCCCTTGTCATACGCTACCCACACACAGATACACGCTCACCTGCAGCCATGATGGTATTGGTGAGCAGAACCAGGTGCGCCAACCCATCCAGGGCCATCTCATGGCCCTTGCTGTGCGACCCCTCTAGAGCCACTTGGGAGGCGCCTCTCCCATCCATCCAGGCCTTACCTGCAGACCCGCAAGCACACCCCTGTCCACAGACAGACACCCACCTGCAGCCATGATGGTGTTGGTGAGCAGAGCCAGGTGCGCCAGCCCATCCAGAGCCATCTCATGGCCCTTGTCCGACCCCTCTCCCACACATGCACGTGCCACTGCTGCTTCTGCTTCTGCTTTTTCTGCTGCAGTTCCTGGCGCTGCTGCCCCCATGGTGGCAGCTGTAGCAGCCGTAGCTGATGTAGTGGTTGTAGCAGCTACAGCAGTGGCCATGGCCTGCAGGGCGGCATGTCTTGTCTCCACCTCGTGGTGCACAATGTTGAGAGCAAGAAGCTCCCACACGGACTGATGGGGTGGATGAGAGGGAAGGGAGGGAGAAAGGAAAGAATCAGTTGGGCATGAAGAGAGGTAGAAGGTCAATGCCTTGGCTACACCTCGTGGTGCACAATGTTGAGAGCAAGAAGCTCCCACACGGACTGATGGGGTGGATGAGAGGGAAGGGAGGGAGAAAGGAAAGAATCAGTTGGGCATGAAGAGAGGTAGAAGGTCAATGCCTTGGCTACACCTCGTGGTGCACAATGTTGAGAGCAAGAAGCTCCCACACGGACTGATGGGGTGGATGAGAGGGAAGGGAGGGAGAAAGGAAAGAATCAGTTGGGCATGAAGAGAGGTAGAAGGTCAATGCCTTGGCTACACCTCGTGGTGCACAATGTTGAGAGCAAGAAGCTCCCACACGGACTGATGGGGTGGATGAGAGGGAAGGGAGGGAGAAAGGAAAGAATCAGTTGGGCATGAAGAGAGGTAGAAGGTCAATGCCTTGGCTACACCTCGTGGTGCACAATGTTGAGAGCAAGAAGCTCCCACACGGACTGATGGGGTGGATGAGAGGGAAGGGAGGGAGAAAGGAAAGAATCAGTTGGGCATGAAGAGAGGTAGAAGGTCAATGCCTTGTCTCCACCTCGTGGTGCACAATGTTGAGAGCAAGAAGCTCCCACACGGACTGATGGGGTGGATGAGAGGGAAGGGAGGGAGAAAGGAAAGAATCAGTTGGGCATGAAGAGAGGTAGAAGGTCAATGCCTTGGCTACACCTCGTGGTGCACAATGTTGAGAGCAAGAAGCTCCCACACGGACTGATGGGGTGGATGAGAGGGAAGGGAGGGAGAAAGGAAAGAATCAGTTGGGCATGAAGAGAGGTAGAAGGTCAATGCCTTGGCTACACCTCGTGGTGCACAATGTTGAGAGCAAGAAGCTCCCACACGGACTGATGGGGTGGATGAGAGGGAAGGGAGGGAGAAAGGAAAGAATCAGTTGGGCATGAAGAGAGGTAGAAGGTCAATGCCTTGGCTACACCTCGTGGTGCACAATGTTGAGAGCAAGAAGCTCCCACACGGACTGATGGGGTGGATGAGAGGGAAGGGAGGGAGAAAGGAAAGAATCAGTTGGGCATGAAGAGAGGTAGAAGGTCAATGCCTTGGCTACACCTCGTGGTGCACAATGTTGAGAGCAAGAAGCTCCCACACGGACTGATGGGGTGGATGAGAGGGAAGGGAGGGAGAAAGGAAAGAATCAGTTGGGCATGAAGAGAGGTAGAAGGTCAATGCCTTGGCTACACCTCGTGGTGCACAATGTTGAGAGCAAGAAGCTCCCACACGGACTGATGGGGTGGATGAGAGGGAAGGGAGGGAGAAAGGAAAGAATCAGTTGGGCATGAAGAGAGGTAGAAGGTCAATGCCTTGGCTACACCTCGTGGTGCACAATGTTGAGAGCAAGAAGCTCCCACACGGACTGATGGGGTGGATGAGAGGGAAGGGAGGGAGAAAGGAAAGAATCAGTTGGGCATGAAGAGAGGTAGAAGGTCAATGCCTTGGCTACACCTCGTGGTGCACAATGTTGAGAGCAAGAAGCTCCCACACGGACTGATGGGGTGGATGAGAGGGAAGGGAGGGAGAAAGGAAAGAATCAGTTGGGCATGAAGAGAGGTAGAAGGTCAATGCCTTGGCTACACCTCGTGGTGCACAATGTTGAGAGCAAGAAGCTCCCACACGGACTGATGGGGTGGATGAGAGGGAAGGGAGGGAGAAAGGAAAGAATCAGTTGGGCATGAAGAGAGGTAGAAGGTCAATGCCTTGTCTCCACCTCGTGGTGCACAATGTTGAGAGCAAGAAGCTCCCACACGGACTGATGGGGTGGATGAGAGGGAAGGGAGGGAGAAAGGAAAGAATCAGTTGGGCATGAAGAGAGGTAGAAGGTCAATGCCTTGGCTACACCTCGTGGTGCACAATGTTGAGAGCAAGAAGCTCCCACACGGACTGATGGGGTGGATGAGAGGGAAGGGAGGGAGAAAGGAAAGAATCAGTTGGGCATGAAGAGAGGTAGAAGGTCAATGCCTTGGCTACACCTCGTGGTGCACAATGTTGAGAGCAAGAAGCTCCCACACGGACTGATGGGGTGGATGAGAGGGAAGGGAGGGAGAAAGGAAAGAATCAGTTGGGCATGAAGAGAGGTAGAAGGTCAATGCCTTGGCTACACCTCGTGGTGCACAATGTTGAGAGCAAGAAGCTCCCACACGGACTGATGGGGTGGATGAGAGGGAAGGGAGGGAGAAAGGAAAGAATCAGTTGGGCATGAAGAGAGGTAGAAGGTCAATGCCTTGGCTACACCTCGTGGTGCACAATGTTGAGAGCAAGAAGCTCCCACACGGACTGATGGGGTGGATGAGAGGGAAGGGAGGGAGAAAGGAAAGAATCAGTTGGGCATGAAGAGAGGTAGAAGGTCAATGCCTTGGCTACACCTCGTGGTGCACAATGTTGAGAGCAAGAAGCTCCCACACGGACTGATGGGGTGGATGAGAGGGAAGGGAGGGAGAAAGGAAAGAATCAGTTGGGCATGAAGAGAGGTAGAAGGTCAATGCCTTGTCTCCACCTCGTGGTGCACAATGTTGAGAGCAAGAAGCTCCCACACGGACTGATGGGGTGGATGAGAGGGAAGGGAGGGAGAAAGGAAAGAATCAGTTGGGCATGAAGAGAGGTAGAAGGTCAATGCCTTGGCTACACCTCGTGGTGCACAATGTTGAGAGCAAGAAGCTCCCACACGGACTGATGGGGTGGATGAGAGGGAAGGGAGGGAGAAAGGAAAGAATCAGTTGGGCATGAAGAGAGGTAGAAGGTCAATGCCTTGGCTACACCTCGTGGTGCACAATGTTGAGAGCAAGAAGCTCCCACACGGACTGATGGGGTGGATGAGAGGGAAGGGAGGGAGAAAGGAAAGAATCAGTTGGGCATGAAGAGAGGTAGAAGGTCAATGCCTTGGCTACACCTCGTGGTGCACAATGTTGAGAGCAAGAAGCTCCCACACGGACTGATGGGGTGGATGAGAGGGAAGGGAGGGAGAAAGGAAAGAATCAGTTGGGCATGAAGAGAGGTAGAAGGTCAATGCCTTGGCTACACCTCGTGGTGCACAATGTTGAGAGCAAGAAGCTCCCACACGGACTGATGGGGTGGATGAGAGGGAAGGGAGGGAGAAAGGAAAGAATCAGTTGGGCATGAAGAGAGGTAGAAGGTCAATGCCTTGGCTACACCTCGTGGTGCACAATGTTGAGAGCAAGAAGCTCCCACACGGACTGATGGGGTGGATGAGAGGGAAGGGAGGGAGAAAGGAAAGAATCAGTTGGGCATGAAGAGAGGTAGAAGGTCAATGCCTTGGCTACACCTCGTGGTGCACAATGTTGAGAGCAAGAAGCTCCCACACGGACTGATGGGGTGGATGAGAGGGAAGGGAGGGAGAAAGGAAAGAATCAGTTGGGCATGAAGAGAGGTAGAAGGTCAATGCCTTGGCTACACCTCGTGGTGCACAATGTTGAGAGCAAGAAGCTCCCACACGGACTGATGGGGTGGATGAGAGGGAAGGGAGGGAGAAAGGAAAGAATCAGTTGGGCATGAAGAGAGGTAGAAGGTCAATGCCTTGGCTACACCTCGTGGTGCACAATGTTGAGAGCAAGAAGCTCCCACACGGACTGATGGGGTGGATGAGAGGGAAGGGAGGGAGAAAGGAAAGAATCAGTTGGGCATGAAGAGAGGTAGAAGGTCAATGCCTTGGCTACACCTCGTGGTGCACAATGTTGAGAGCAAGAAGCTCCCACACGGACTGATGGGGTGGATGAGAGGGAAGGGAGGGAGAAAGGAAAGAATCAGTTGGGCATGAAGAGAGGTAGAAGGTCAATGCCTTGGCTACACCTCGTGGTGCACAATGTTGAGAGCAAGAAGCTCCCACACGGACTGATGGGGTGGATGAGAGGGAAGGGAGGGAGAAAGGAAAGAATCAGTTGGGCATGAAGAGAGGTAGAAGGTCAATGCCTTGGCTACACCTCGTGGTGCACAATGTTGAGAGCAAGAAGCTCCCACACGGACTGATGGGGTGGATGAGAGGGAAGGGAGGGAGAAAGGAAAGAATCAGTTGGGCATGAAGAGAGGTAGAAGGTCAATGCCTTGGCTACACCTCGTGGTGCACAATGTTGAGAGCAAGAAGCTCCCACACGGACTGATGGGGTGGATGAGAGGGAAGGGAGGGAGAAAGGAAAGAATCAGTTGGGCATGAAGAGAGGTAGAAGGTCAATGCCTTGGCTACACCTCGTGGTGCACAATGTTGAGAGCAAGAAGCTCCCACACGGACTGATGGGGTGGATGAGAGGGAAGGGAGGGAGAAAGGAAAGAATCAGTTGGGCATGAAGAGAGGTAGAAGGTCAATGCCTTGGCTACACCTCGTGGTGCACAATGTTGAGAGCAAGAAGCTCCCACACGGACTGATGGGGTGGATGAGAGGGAAGGGAGGGAGAAAGGAAAGAATCAGTTGGGCATGAAGAGAGGTAGAAGGTCAATGCCTTGGCTACACCTCGTGGTGCACAATGTTGAGAGCAAGAAGCTCCCACACGGACTGATGGGGTGGATGAGAGGGAAGGGAGGGAGAAAGGAAAGAATCAGTTGGGCATGAAGAGAGGTAGAAGGTCAATGCCTTGGCTACACCTCGTGGTGCACAATGTTGAGAGCAAGAAGCTCCCACACGGACTGATGGGGTGGATGAGAGGGAAGGGAGGGAGAAAGGAAAGAATCAGTTGGGCATGAAGAGAGGTAGAAGGTCAATGCCTTGGCTACACCTCGTGGTGCACAATGTTGAGAGCAAGAAGCTCCCACACGGACTGATGGGGTGGATGAGAGGGAAGGGAGGGAGAAAGGAAAGAATCAGTTGGGCATGAAGAGAGGTAGAAGGTCAATGCCTT